TGATAACAAATCATGCCATTATCGATGAATCTTGAATACTTTATTTAAAATTATATAAGGAAGGGTCGAGCTTGAAACTTCTATAGATACCTCACCTTATCTCACCATTAAGGCTATGTGGTTCAAGTAGTATAGTTGTGAGCATTTTTTCAAATGAAAGAGATCCAATTTTATATTAATTATACATTTATTTATACGTATGAGTTGGTCAGGCAAAAAAAATAAAATTATGCGTATGAGTTGGATATTTTTATTATCTTTTTACTGCAACAAAAATAATTAAGAACTTTCAAAGATGTCCAATTATGCGTGCCTTCGAAATAAACCAACTTGAGAAGCACTAAGAGGTATAGAAAAGAGATAGCTGAAACAAGAGAGAGCATTCTATCATTTCAGACACACACACACACATCAATACAAATAACATGTCCTATATAAACATATCCTACATGTATCAAAGGACTCATTCTTGTTAACTGATATTTAATGGAAAATAAAACTCATGAATAACAGTAGAAATTAAAGTTGAGTTATAAAAATAATAGAATAACAGGGAAATAGTAAGAGATACTTGATTAAAAACAAAATAGTAAAGAAGATATGGAAATCCACACAAAACTCTTAACATTCATAACCCAATTATATATAATCAATTTCTACTAGTAACTAGCTGTTGGTTGAGATGATAAACGATCTCATCCCAATAAGAAGAGCTTTAACCTTAACACTTTCAACCCGATAGAGATTAGTTTTAAGCTCAAAGTAACTTTGTAGATATTCTGGGTTATACCAAAAAAAAAAATCAACTTCCACTAGGATTATATACAATATATAACACAACTTCACTTAATCCAGGAGAAAGCTACGTACTAAACCACACTAGAAGAAGAAGATGACGATGAGATGATGATGATGATGATATATACCAGTAAATCTCTTTGCCAGCAGAACAAGGGCCAGAAGTGGCAGTTTTAGTTATCAACATGATTCCCACCGTTGATCTTTTCACGGACTTGGTTGATATAGTTGTCAGCATGAGCATCAACATCGTCATTAATTTCATGCCTCGTCAAGGTTTCACCAACCTGTCCTGGCTTCACCAGATAGGATCTCGGGTTTGTGACCATGACGCTGTCTACAGACTCTTGTGTTATTTTAATCTTCGACGCCGCCGACGATGGAGGCTTCCGGCGGGGCGTCTCGCTAGACGACTCTGCTAATCTTTCATGATCTCGTGGCTTTGGTGGATCATTACTATAATTTGGAGGGAAATTTTGGGCCCCAAATAAGCCGCGACATGATAGTCTGATGATGTTTGATACCAGCAACATCGACACTTCACAAACTGATGAGGACGATGAGGACGAGGAAGAAGATTTCGTTTTGTTTCCATTGTAGTCTTGGTTGGCCATGTCGTGGGAGAAAGATGATGAGGAAAATTATGGAGAAGCGGTGAGATGGGATGAGAATTTAAACAGGGCCATGGATAAGATACTTCCGTAAGAAAAGCAGGAAGAAAAGATAAGCTTTTCACAATGGCCGGAGACTCTGCTTTCGAGAATATTTAATACTACCTCCAACACGTCATTTATAATAAAATCTTGTTTATAGTTTATAAACGAGATCTTATAATTAAAGATATCAGTTTAAGAGTCTGGAGCCATCGGTGTAATTATAGTTTTATGCATCAAATTCATTTTGGATATATGGTGCTAGATGATTTGTATGTCATGCAAGGCACGGAAATTAATTATTGGATGGAATTAGGGAATGCATGAATTTTGGAATCTTGAAACAAACCTGATTCCCAATTTTAAGAGGCTACATATATCTTTCCTTGGTTTACGACAAATGGGTGTGTCTGAGAAAAAGATGGATATTTGTTTTTTTTTTTGATAGAAAGATCAAAATTATATTAATAAACGGAAAAAAAGATATACCAGCTAAGAAAAGGCATTTTGCTGAAAAAAATTAGCTTCATCGATTTATCCATAATCTTCAAGATCATTAGTTCGAGTCTCACTACAAATATAAGGATGTCTTGTAATCTTGCTCCCCTCAACCTTCTGTTGTCTTTTTTTTTTTTTTGGAAAAAAGGAGCATCTTTGTTGACAACAAGATTTTTATGTATTAAAGAAATCACACTGGTTTATATATTTGTTATCTTATCTCTATAGTATGGGAACGATAAAAATAATTAACTTATAAGGTTTAAAATATATTTCTCCTCCACTGGCTTCCGCTGTCTCTTTCTCCACCCACCAAGAACAAAAGCCTGTCAGAATCTCTTCGTTTCTTGACTTATTGTGTGTGTGGGATCTCTTTTGCATTGTAAAAGTTTCAGATAATTGTTCACGACTTGGGGGCTTGACCTGGATTGAAATTTGCAGATTATTATTGTAATTAAACAGATTTAACATAAAAAATAGTTGCACATAACTTGGTTTTCTTTTCTTTTCTTTTTTTCTCTCTCTAAAGCATAGGTATCCTTCAATAGGAGGCAATCCTATTTGAGGCATTATTGGATACTAAATGTAGGTACTTCTCTCAGCGGGAATTTGAACTTTGGTTCACCATGTTATGATAGACTAACTCTTTTTACTAAATCCAGCCCCTGTTGATAACTTGGTTTTCTCCTTACATTACAAAGAAAAAAAAAAAACTGAAACGAAGATGATAATCAAATATGCAGAAAAGCCCATATTGATTATTGAATGCTTGATCTGCTTATTATAATAAAACCGTAAAATAAATCACATCTGTTAAGTAATTATATCTTAATAATACCTCATTCAGATTTTACGCACAATCAAATCAAAACTAGAACTTTTTAAAAATCATGCCTTTTGCTTCTCCTCGTGACATGTGGAAGATTCGTTATGCTTAAACCAACCTAACAATCGAATTTCGCCTTTTTTTTTTTTTTTGGGCACTGAATGTCGCCTTTAAAATCACGTCTCAAATTTAATGACTAAATTTTGGTATCCATCTTGTGGTGTTGGGCCTGGAAAATTTAAACATAGCCATTTCAGCCCGCTAAGGGCCCATACTATAACGTGGCAAAATAAGGCTAAGCCAATGATTTACGAGGAGGCTCTCTCCTCTTTGGGCTGGACCTCATTATATTTTATATTTGCAAACAGTTCACAAGTGAATGTTTCTTAACTTTCTTTTATGATAGTTCTTTTTTGAAGTATTGTTTTTTCACAAGCGAATGTTATTATATAGGAAAAATATGCTTTATCTTCACGTGTCATATGATAAATCATAAAATAGTTCTATCACATGGTAAAATTTAACATATTATTTTTAATGTACAAAATTTTAACTTTCTTAAATCCATTTATGTTTTGACGATTTAAATTTTTTGGCCAACCGTGTATTGTGAAATATGACGATTGATTGAAAGGAAAATAAAAAAAGTTTCCATACGAAATACAAATATAAATAGATAAAATTTATGTTATATTTATTATTTTAAACCAACTTTTCATAAATATAAATAGATAAAATTTATGTTATATTTTGAGCGGGAAATGAGTAATAATTCTCAACGTTTCTCTGGAAAAGAGATGTGACCTGTGACCTATTAGTCTATTACCAATTACCAGGACACATTATCACATAATCCGCTACTTACACACACACGCACTTTTTTGGAGCAATTTATGAGGTAAAATTTTTTTTGTCATAATTATAAGTCACTTTATCAAATGTGCAACATAAATGTATCATTTTACTCCTTTTTTATTATTTTGCTTGGAAAGTATACATACTACCTCCGGTCCTAATTATAAGACCCAGTTGACTAATTTGAAGAGATTAAGGAAGTAAGTTAAGTTAGTTATTTGTAACAAATAAGTGTTTTTATTCCTAAAATATCCTTGCTAATTAAGTGTGTTGGTTAGAACTATCATTATTAGAAGAACTATCTTGGAAAAAAACGCATAAATATGAAAGAAAAATGGATTGGGGTCTTATAATTAGGACCAAACTAAAGTCAAACGGGATCCTATATTAAGGACCGGAGGTAGTATTAAATAAAATTAAATTAAAAGGCTATTAAATTTTAAAATAGTTAATAAGATTTTAGGCTTTTCTTGATTCTAATAAGATATATTAGAAGTAACTTATAAATAAAATTATATGAGTATATAAACACACATAATCTTTAAAAAATTGTTTCCATAAGAATTAACGGTAAGTTCGCAGTGAGGGCCTTGTTACCAAATGATAACAATTTTTTTTTTTAAAGTTTCCTAAGTATGGGGTGGTAACTTTGAACTCTTCATAAAAAATACTATCTCATGTCCTTAATATAAGAATTTGTTTGATTTTTATTTTGATTTTAAATATAAGACTCCAATTCATTTTGTTTCTGATATTTATCCTTTTTTTTTTAAGGTAGTCTTTATAATAACAATGGTTCTAAAAAATACATTTTATTAACAAGGATATTTTAGAAATCAGAATACCTATTTATTATAAATAACTAATTTAGCAAATTTTTTTAATCTACTCAAATTAGTCAATTAACTTTTATGTTAAGGACCGGAAGAAATATAATACGTAAAATGTAATAGGTGTGTAAATTATGAGAAAAAAAATAATAAATCCGTAACATTACTGAAAAATGTTATGCTTTTCAAACTCACTGTATAGTTTCCGTTAAAGGACTAAATATAAATTATAAAACCTTAACTAACTCGAAAATTAAACCCGACCCGTTAGTTATTCCGAGTTTAGGCTGAATATGCAACACAACTTATCTTAAAAAACCTCAAAAAAAAAAAAAACCAAAAACACTAATGAAATCAAGTATAGGGCCGTCGAGTTTTCCCAAAACCTTAATTAATCCAAAAGGCGCTTGTTGGATGAAGGACCTTTTAATGTCATTGTTAAATAAACGGCGTCGCATTTATCATCTTTGAACGCTTTCCACATACAGACACATCCCAAAAGATTCAACATTTCAACTGGTAGTCAAAAAGCTGCGTATTCCCTCTCTCCTCCTTTCTCTATCCGTCCCAATCTCTTCAGCCTCTCTGCTTTATTATGATCTCCAAAGCACTCATTCACAACATAAACGTGAGCCCCATTTCGTTCATCATGAACTTTATCTTTCTCGCAGCTTCAATCTTTCTCCTTTATTCACCATCTCTTTGTGTTTCCATCGAGGACGACGTGGTTTGCCTCGAAGGTGTAAAGAACTCATTTTCTGACCCAAATGGAAAACTCAGCTCTTGGAGCTTCAGCAACACTTCTGTATCCTCAATCTGCCAGCTCGTCGGAGTTTCTTGCTGGAACGAGAAGGAGACCCGCATCATCAGCCTCCAGCTCCGTGACATGCAGCTCGCCGGAAAGCTCCCTGAGTCGCTCAAGTATTGCCGGAGTCTCCAGACCCTCGTACTCTCTGGTAACGCTCTCTCTGGTTCGATTCCTCCTTATATCTGTAGCTGGTTGCCTTATTTGGTGACCCTAGATCTCTCCGGTAACCAAATCTCGGGTTCTATCCCACCCGAGATTGTAAATTGCAAATTCTTGAATACCCTTACTCTGAACGATAACAAATTATCGGGTTCGATCCCTTACGAACTGAGTCGGCTTGACCGATTGAAGAAGCTCTCTGTTGCCAATAACGATCTCTCGGGTTCCATTCCACCGGATTTGTCCAAATTTGACGCAGCTGATTTTGATGGGAACAGTGGATTATGCGGGAAGCCAGTTGGATCAAAGTGTGGTGGATTGAGTCGTAAAAGTCTCGGGATTATCATTGCTGCTGGTGCGATTGGAGCCTTGGGATCTTTAGTTGTGGGTTTCGCTCTCTGGTGGTGGTTCTTCCTGAGAGTCAGTGAGCAAAAGAAAGAGTATAGTGGTTCTGGTGGCGGGAAGCAAGTGGGCGATTGGATTGATTTGTTAAAGTCACACAAGCTTGCTCAAGTTTCTTTGTTCCAGAAACCCATTGTGAAGGTCAGATTAGCTGATTTACTAATCGCTACTAATAGCTTTCATCCGGAAAATATTGTGATTTCTAGTAGAACAGGAGTCTCTTATAAGGCAGTTTTGCGTGATGGGTCAGCTCTTGCGGTGAAGAGGCTTAATTCTTGCAAACTTGCTGAGAAGCAATTTAGATCAGAGATGAACAGGTTGGGGCAGCTCAGACACCCTAATTTGGTGCCTCTGTTGGGTTTCTGTATGGTGGAAGAGGAGAAGCTTTTGGTGTACAAGCACATGTTCAATGGGACCTTGTATTCTCAGTTGCATAAAACTGGTCATGCTAATAATAGTCAATATATTTTTCTGGACTGGCCAACGAGGCTGAGAATTGGGATAGGTGCTGCCAGAGGACTTGCTTGGCTTCACCATGCTTGTCAACCTCCCTATATTCACCAGAATATCAGCTCAAATATAGTCCTTCTTGACTATGATTTCGAAGCTCGAATAACGGGTTTCGGATTGGCGAGGCTTGTGGCCACTCGCGATCCCAATGATAGCTCCTTTGTGAATGGCGACCTGGGTGAATTTGGTTATGTTGCTCCTGAGTACTCAAGCACCATGGTTGCTTCCATGAAAGGCGATGTTTATGGTTTTGGAGTTGTTCTCTTCGAATTGGTCACTGGGATGAAGCCGGTGGAAGTAAACACGGGAGGGGAAGGATTCAAAGGGAATTTAGTGGATTGGGTCAATTGGTTAACAGTGACAGGAAGAACTAAAGAAGCCATAGATAAAGCTTTGTTAAATGAAAATCCTGAACATGGTGATGAATTTATGCAGTTCATGCGGGTTGCCTTATCTTGTGTTGTCTCTAGACCCAAAGATAGACCTTCCATGTACCAAGTTTTCTCCTCACTGAAGAGCATGGCTGAGAAACATGGTTTTGCAGATCAGTATGATGACTTCCCAGTTGTCTCTGGCAAAGAAGACTCTGACTACAATAAGAATTAGCCTACCATTAGGGAGGAAGAAGAAGAAGCAGCAGCACAACATGAGTTGTGCATATGAGAGACGCTGAGACTTTCAGATTTCACATATACCTTCCTTTTCTTTTCTTTTTTTTGGTAGGACGATTTGTAACTCGTATTGTTCACTTCATGCTCAGCGTAATTCTGATAATATCCCGCCTTATGTAAACAGTATGATGCATCTGGTTCTTTGATTGTTACTATCTACCTGACATGCCGTTATTCTGAATCCTTTATCAGCATGATTTAAGCAGCATCTAATAGATTTGTTGCACCAAATTTCCAGTTACTTTATTCATCACACTGTTGCATACCGATATAAAAGCTTTCCAGATTCATTACACTGTTGTGGGGTTAAGCACTTGAAACTTGGCAATTTTGTTACCCGGCAAAATCTCCAAAATTGAGATAACTTAGAAATCTGTAAATAGCATTGGAGATATACTACGGATCCCTCAATGGACTGGAGGAAAAAGCAAGAAAAAGATAGAAGGCAATTAAAAATTATAAAGGCATTGAAAAGGGAACTGAAAAAAGGTTCATTTATAAGCAATAAATAATGCAAAATCTGTGGGGGCAACATGATCATATAACCATCATATGGGAAGTGTTTCGGAATGATACTGTTAATAATTGGGATTGAAGCGATCAAAAAGGCAAACAGATTGAGAATTGAGGTCTTTGGAAAAGGAAATCCGATTTACTTTTGTCAGGCCTATAGGATCGTCTAATTTCATATTCCTACTATTCATTCCAAACAATGGCCGAACTATGGGAACTTATATTTGACTAAATTGGATTTCTTTGACCGTAAAATTGCTGAAATTTCGTGGTACTGTTTGATGGGAATTTGAAAATTTTCAATGCAGAAACAAATTTTACATTTCTTTACCCTTGAGTCGCTGGCATTCTGGCATGTGACAGTGACAAAAGATTATTGTTTGTTTCAAAGCTAGAAGTCATGAACTGGAGATCCCCTATTCAAATATATACATTTTGTATAACAAAACCTATCTCATATGACATTGAAACTTGTTCTTTTAAAATTCGATCATATAATTTTTTAATAGTATACTCAATTGAAAACAATTCATTATCTCAGATACATTACGCACAATTAATTGACTTTGCAATAGTAACAGCATAGAAGTCTATTGTATTTAGATAAAATATAGGTCAGATCATAAATCACGCTTGCCACAGATCACAATTGGTGAATTTGTAAAGAAGATGATTTGTAACAATTATTATATTGATCGTTGTCACGTCGAGCGTCCAAGAATTTGACCGGGTGTTCCCATAACAGTTTTATTGTCAAATCAGCAGATGACAGTGGCCCCATTATGTAAACATAATGAAATGCATGATAATCCGATAGAGACCCAAGAATTTTTGTGCGTATTAACAAACATGACCCACCCTTCGGACCTTCCTTAATCTACCTTGTACTGCTTCCTCTCTGATCCCCATTTGAATCCTGTTACATTGAAATTGTAAAAACTAGGTATTCATGAACCCTACCAGAGGCAACTATTTCAGAATTAAAATTCTGAGGTAAGCCGCTTTTGTTATCCTGTAGACACAGCCCTTGTTCACTTTCTCAACAAGCAAATTAAATTTGGATTAGTATTATACTCTGGATGAATTTAAAAGAGAGTTACTTCGTATTAGTTAGAAATTTCAAGTTTAGATTTGGATTAGTATTATACTCTGCGGTAGAGTTTGTACTTGAAAGGGTTTCACCCAACTTAATATAGATTAGTCTAGGCTCTGTAAAGTCTTTGAGTTAAAAGTGATAGGCTCAAAATATTAGGTTTAAATAAAAAAGTAAAAAAAAATTAACATATGTTGGTTTTAGTAACATTAGTTATGCTCATTAAAGCATAAGATTTTGGGTTTAAATGCATGTGTGTTTTTGCTTTTGGATACAAAGGAAAATTAAATGCATGTGCATTAATTAAAAGGGAATTCTTCCTTTCGAAATCTGACAGCGCTTAATCTATCAGTATCTAAAATTAAATGCTACATCATATAAATAAATGAATGAATGAATCAATAATAAATATAGCATATTGGCATGAAAGTGTTTTATGAGTAGGAGACTATTGGTACATGTCCTCCTAATTTTAAAAGGAAACCAAGGAATGGGATGGGACATAAACTGCCAAGAAGTAGAAGCTCAAGACTCAAGAGGCTCTCGTGATTGCATTCAACAGTTTCACCATAGAGATCAGAAGGCATTGATTTTGGACCAGTTTTTGTGTGGTCCTCAAATGAGACCTAAAGGATAAATAACATTACCCTACCATGTGGGTTGGACCTACTTTTAATTTGGTGCCTTGTGATTGAGTATTGAATTGTTCATTGATGGGGCGGTGGTGTGGGTTGGTTTTCTTTTTCTGTGCCTGAGAGATGCAGAAAGTAGCCTATGTGCCTGTGTTCCTAAGCACATGGTTCAGTTTCTGAGTTTCAGACTTCTCACTGTCGTTTAACTGTTCAACTCTTTGTTTGCGTTCCTTCCGTGGTTCTGATGCTTTGTGCCTGCCACCCATAAAACCAGAGTCTTAAATGATTTTTTTTTACCAGCACAGTCTTAAATGTTGAAACATTAATCAAAATAGTAGGTGGCATCAAACACTGCATAAATTACTGCAGAAAAAGTCATTTTCTAAGGCAAATACAATAATGTCATTTTAATTAAACTGTAATGCTTGATATTGCCGTGAATGATTGTTAAAACAATCTCTCTCTCTCTCTCTCTCTCTCTCTCGCGCGCGCGCGCGCGCACATCATACGGAGGAAAAGAGAAGTCCCTAAGATTGGGCTAGTGAGGCCTAGTCCTATCCGACAATGGCCTGCAAAGACATATTCCTAACCCAATTGGCAGTCAAGTCTACTTTGAACTCAATACACTCAACACTCAATAATTCCTGTAATGATTGACTATTAACTTTTGGCTTTTTCTTGGACATGGAGTTAGAAGGGCCCTGACATTTCACCAAATTTGATCAATCTCCAAGCAACTAGAGGAGGGGGATTATCATCATCCCAGGTATACTCATTTCATTGGGATTAAATATTAAGGAGCTAATCAAATGCTCACTTTGAACGTTGTTGTTACTTTAATCACCCTCAAAATCCTTCATCCTAAGTATCACAGGTGGCCCAAAATAAGACAAGAAAAGGGGGCAGTTGTAATAATATAATACAAAACTAGTTTGCGATGAGTAAAAACAAAACATGCACGAGAGATGAGATGAATGCGTCAAGAGAGTATACTAGTGTATTAGTCCTCTGGTCCTTAATATATGACTCAATTATCGAGTTAATTTTAGTCCTAAATATAAGACCCATTTCTCATATTTATCAATTTTCTCTAAATTACCCCTATGGATACTCCCTCAACCATAATCAAGTAGAAGAGGGAAATGGGGTATTAAGAAAGATGATTATGGTGTTTTAGGAAAAACGTGTCACATTTCTTATAATTAACTAATTTACCTAACTTCCTTAATCTAATCAAATTAGTTAAATGGGTTTTATATTAAGGACAGGAGGAGTATAAAGAATAAAAATATTTTATAAGAAGATGTTTAAGGAGAGGGTGTGAAAGAATTTACGTGACATCTCTGTTGCATGATATAGAGTAATAGAGATATATTCATAAACCATATTTCAGCATACAACTTGGTGTGTGTTTAGAGTGATGTTTTGCTGTACAAAAACAGCTTTTAAAAATCATTTTTGGAATGATATAATGTCACCCCAAACATGTTATTTTTAGTCCATAAAGGTATGAGGTGGCATTGTTCCACCACATTTGTTTTAGTGTGTCAAAACTGAGTTTAGGATTTTCTTTTCTTTTTTTTTTTTACTAGATTTCTCACATTGAGGGAAATTTTGCTTTCATGCTCAAAGTCTTTACAGTCTCTTTTTTTTTTTGGGGCAAAAGCTCAGGTACTGGAAGGGTCAATTCTAATACATCTGAATTAATAAAGAGTCTCAATATTAAAAGCAAAGGCGTTTAACTTGTTCCGTCTTAGCTATCTCGTCTCGGTTTCGATCAATTCGGGATGAGATGAAAAAATTTGGAAACAGGACTACTAAGGGACGGGAGACGGCCCACCCCGTGCTGTTTTTTTTGAGAGTGGCGAACCCAAACGCTTCTGGAACCCTAATTCTCGTGTGTGAATTTTTATCATGATGCTATTAGAGTTACTATACTGCACCATGACTAAATTTCAATTCAATTGGAACCCTAGTAAATTCCACTTGATTCTATTTAATGCTACTTTTTTTTAATCGGGTTTAATTTATCATTTACTTCGTATTAATGAAATTATCACCCTTTGCGATGAAACGGAATGATAAAAATGCTTATGTGCCGTTCTGCTTTTCTTCCCCGTCTATTCTTTTTTTTAGTTTTCCCTCAACAATATTTTGTCAAATACTCATGTATAATGTTTAATTATATACTCTGTATTTATAGTGCAAACATAGAATTTTTTTTGGTTCTATTTATAGTGTAGTGAGAGAAATTTCTTATACAGATGTGTAATTTTATACTTTATTTATTATTATGTTGACTTTGTTTAAATGAAGTATAATATATATTAAATACGAATAAAGATAAAAAGTTATTGAATTTTAAACGAGAGTTAATGAAATTTAAGGTTTTTTCTTAACTCATATCAAACATGGTAAAAATGATTTATAAATAAGGATGAAAGTGTAAATATACCTATGAACTTATATCAAATGTGTGTCTAGCACCATAAAAAACCTTGGGTACAAAAATATACATGATGATTTCAAAAAGTTGCAAAAATACCACAACCGTTAATTATCGTAACGTTAACTGTTTGTTTGACTGAAGGTGCTGACGTGAACGCTGATATGGCTTAGAGAGTCTGATAAAAAAGAGTGAAGGTGCAAATATACCTATAAATTTTTATCAAATGTGCATCTGACATCATACACACAAACCTAGGGTGTGAAAATACCTACTATTATTTCAAAGAATCATATTATAGTTGTTTAATTCATTAAAAATTACTGTCTAACTCAAACTTTTGACCAAACAAGTTGACATAGATGTTAAATTAGTGTTTTAGTCTTTCTCTTTTAAGTTTAAGCCCTTCCTCTTTGCAAACCAGAGGAGACATGACGAGCTACTGAGAGAGAATAGCGTTGCTCTTTTTAGAAAAAAAGAGATTTTGATAGATGAAATGAAGGAGTAAGTTTTGTAGAGAGTTTCAATTTATTTCTCTTCAATGAAAGTGCAATACTGAGGAGAGAACATCATTGGAATCGGAGGGAGATTGAAACACCAGCTTAGGTCTGTGTTACCTTTTTTAGTCAAAAGTTTGAATTAGAAAGTCATCTTTGATGAATTAAACAATTGTAGCATTTCAAGATTGTTTCAAATCATCATAAGTATTTTTACACACAAGATTTGTATATGATGTTAGACTCAGAGACATATTTGCACATTCACTGTTTTTTATTAGACCTTCTAAACTACATCATCATTTATATCAGTGTCCACGTTAATATTTTCTGTCAAACAAATGGTCAATGTTATAATAATTAACGGTCGTGACATTTTTGCAACTTTTTAAAATAATCATGTGTATTTTTATATCCAATATTTGTTTATGATGCTATATGCATATTTGATATAAGTTTACGAGTATACTTCGTCTTTTTTGTTTTTATTTTGGGGACTGACGCATATATTTATGACAGTCTGCTGACGAAAAAGCTTTTACAATTTATTTTACAATTTGCGGTTTTTTATTTTTTTTTTAAAAAATGCTAGAATTCTGTCGTCAGACGCAAATCGCATGGCTTGGGAAATGAAAGTTTAAAGATCGGAGCGGAGAGCTGGGATTTGGATGCTGTGATTCAGGGAAACTTGTTGAGAATGATCTGGATCCGGAAATTATAAACAAATCACAGGAAGAGAAAGAACTAAGAAGTACCAATCAAGGCCATGGGGTCGGCGAACTTACGATCGTTTCTTCTCGTCCTCTTCTTCTGCCCTCCGGTCGCTCCATCCTCAGAAGCTCTCCTCGCTTTGGGGCACCAAACGTAGTCTCTTATATTTCTATGTCATGATGTTTCTGATGATTTTGATGCACTGTATCTATCTTAACCTTCTGTTCTGGTTTTAACCGTTTGAATTGGGCAGGGATTTTGGAAGCGGCGAAACTCGTCATGTAAACGGCAGAGTCCTATTAAGTTTCAAGGAAAAGCCGGTTGGAAGTAAGGTTACTTTTGAATGCTCTCCTTCTGGTCTCTGCGTCCCTTGCCTATACTCTGAGAAGGTCGCCTTCCTGTTCCTTTAGATATCAGGTTTATGCTTGATCCTTTTTTTTTCCTTTTCTTTTGGGTTTCGAAAGATGGTTTTGAGTTTTGTGTATGTATTACGGCGAATTGTCGTAAAGGAATTTTAACTTGTATGATTTTTATCCTATAACGGACATAAAACAATTAGATGGAAAAAGTGGGTAGCGAGAGCCCGTTGATGAGTCTTACAGTACACTTAATGAGTTATATGCATATGTAAGATATTAGGTTGTTTGGAAAGCACGTACAAGCAGCATCTTTCTTGGATAATGTGAAGTGTTTCAGATCAAGTGCATGTACGATGCAGTTTCACGGTACCAATTGCCAAATCGTGTTTTAGTTATTGTTGGTAATTGTCATATAAGATAGATATAATGTACTTTCTTTCAATTTTGTCTATGAGAATGTAATTCCTCGATTTTTGTTTTCAGCTTCCTCCTAAATCTGAAGCATGTGGACGTTGTTGCAAATCCCCACATGCATTGCTTGTGAAAATTGTAATAGTGTTTTCATATATGGCCAAATTGAAAATGAACTTACCGCATTAGTTTAGTTATTTCTTTTTGCAGCTAGCTAGCTCATTAATCTAATTGTGGGATTGAAGGTTGATGAGATGTATAAACTCCGCTAGGATACAGAATTGATTCAAGTTTCTAATTTTCTAATAGATATTGATAAGTTATTTAGTTATTTGAGGCAAGTTCAATTTGTATAAAAACAGGAAAATCTGAAATTTTCAGGACAACCTTCGTGACGGTCTACTTAGTTTTAGGGCTTTGTAATACCTCTTATTGCATGCCCTTAAGTCCTTATGTTCTTTTTTAGTCCAAATGGAGTATATTTTCCCTTTCTGTTTTCCTGAGCTCTTTATCTAGAAGGTGCTTTTGCATTTATAGGGTGACAACAAATATCGCTGTACTGAGACTGGCTACCGCATCCCGTTCAAATGTGTAGAAAGTAAAATTTCTATGAAAGATTCAAAGAGGACACATTCTCAGAATGCTCGATTGTCTTTGGAAGTCTCTGACAATACGGACAAATTGAACAAAGCATTACATCATGCCAGAGGGTTTACTACTACAGTGAAACATAGAAGCTTACCAGATGAATCATTCACTTCAGATAATAGATCACAAGCCTACATTACTTATCGAAGCTGTATACTCCCAGCTACTGAAGAGAAGTTGTCAGTGCTTAGGTTTGAGGTAATTCTCTGCTTTCTGGTGTTGCTTTTAATGTTGTTTTGTTATTAGCTTCTGAACTTAGATGATTGACCAATCAAGTCATACGGTGAGTGTGTAATATTCTGTTCTTAAACAAAAAACGATCATATTCAAGGATTATCAGCTGCAGGCAGATGGGCTTGTGTCACCAAGATTCTGTTGGGTCTAACAAGGTGCTGTCGGGTTTCACGACTAGGGTGATTTTTATTTAATTATTTATTTCTTTACGGGTGGAGGGGCCTAGTTTCGTCTCTAATTTATACTTATTTATATATATATATATATATATATATATATATATATCTGGGGCTCACCCCCATTATACACTTGCCTCCATCATCATATCATAGAACCACAGGGATGAGTCTGCACTCTTCTGGTAAATCTTTCACAAGAGAACTTCACAGCTTTATTCTGAAAAGTTCCCATTGAGGTTGATTTAGTCCTCCGTTAATTGTCATGTGCACAACTATCCAAAATTAAGTATACAGCCTTGGTCAAGGACCATTCCACGACCTATGTTATGCTAATTGTGGTAATTTTGCAAGTGTCCATTGAGTTCACAGTTTTGAGTATAAGCCATTGTTGGCATATCTCATATACGAGCCTCCAAGTCTAAAGATGTTTCCAAGTGCTTTGCCTGACCTTGATACCATTTGAGCAGGCTTCTATCCTGCTGGAATCGAAACCTTAAAGGGAGATTGAGTGCCATACAAGGGCATATAATTTGTTCATTCTTATATCAACCTTATAGCTATGTAAGGATGGAAGTCTACAATTATCAGAACTATGCTGCAGTGAGTGGTCAGGCATCGTTACTGACTCATTGCTGGCATTATTTTGACTTTTGTATCGGTTTGTTTTCTACTGGTGTCAGGATGCAATGATGTTAATGCTACCTGGCTTTAGCTAAAGTAGTTGAGTGTTAAAGGTCAAGGGGTTCTGTTGTCTATGGATTGAAAAAAAAGGGAATTAAATGGAGTTGAATGTGATTTAAGTATACAGTTTGCTGGATTTGATTCTACTTCTCATGATCTTTATGAAGTAGTATTAGTAGCCGTGCTGTTTTTGAAAGGTTTCTTTTGTTGGCTGTTATCAGAAGTATTTTTATTAATTATTTGGGCCGCGTCTTCTGCTTATTATCTTCAGTCTCAATTTTTTTGGGGGTTAAATTATTAATCGTGATGAATTGATTTGGTATTAGTTCGCAGATGATAGACAATATGATGTTTTAATGTTTATCTATTTTATGAAACACATTGGACAGGGGATCGTGATATTTTTATTTCTTGTTAGTGGATCAGTCATATTGCTGAGAAAAAAGGCGGCGGCTTCGGTATCAGGTTTTGCGGCCGGGAGGGTTCAGATGACCTCTCGGTTTTAACAATTTAGCCTCTTTTATAATGTCATTTGCTCCATTTTTAACCTTTTTTTAATGCCTAATCATCAATCACTACTTGATTGTATTAGGCGAAAATTTCAAGCTTTTACTATCTGTCTGTCAGCTTCTGGTAGTGATATAAAAATTCAGAACTGCATCTATTAGCGGAAACCAGAGGTGAAAACGGATGCTGCACGCTTTATAGCATAGTAGGACTTGCGACATTGACTTGTGACCAAAAAGCATGTCCTTTTGTAGAGATTCAATATTCACAATAGTTTTGGTAAGGTTCAACTATGGTGGGCTGGATCAGTATTGGACTTGAGGTAGAGTTCCTTACTTGTTTGTTACGAGGTTTTCTCATGGACATGGAAATATATAAAAACTTGATATGGTGGGCTGGATCAGTTTTGGACTTGAGGTAAAGTTCCTTGGTTGTTTGTTGCGAGGTTTCTCATAGACATGGAAATGTATAAAAACTGATAACAAGCACTCAAACATTGGAATAATATTTAATTCACCAAAAAATTCATATCCCCCCATTTCATGTTATAAATATTTTGGGCCAAAAAAATATAAAAAGAATATACTATCTGATCTGTACTATCTCGCACTTATCTACAACATTGTGTTGCTGTGGAATTGTATAAAACTGATTAGATCGGAAAGAAAAGGTGTGCCACTGAATTTTCTTTCCTAGCAAATGTAGCCAGGGACGTAATCGGATCTCCTTGGCTGGGAATATCAATGAACATTTTCGCTGTCCCCACTCGTTACAGCGACAACTCAAAGCAGCGGTCAGCATTCTTGACAATATGATTACCCAATGGAAATATATCAGTGTTTGTAAAGCCATTAGCCACGACGAACAGATCACCATTCTAACTACTATTCCAAAAGGGTTTTTGGGGCAAGATTCGATTCCTGACACTGCAAACTCGATTCGAACCCGACACTGCGCCAACTCCTTTTGGATTAGACCAATGCGTTCCCAACATTAGTATGTTTCACCTTTATCTTCATCTTATCAAATTAGACCAGTGTGCTGAAACATCAGTAATATGAAGGATTTTTGCGGGGAAGTATTAACCGCTTTCATCCGAAAAAAAATGGACCCAGTCATATAAGGTCATTAAATTGGCTTCATTCAGTTTGGAAATCATGTTTCGCGAATCTCCATGCACCTGTACCTACTCAACACTCAGTACCAGGAGTAACATGGAATTATGTGAAATAAAAACCTGCGCTTTCATTTGGCATTGGCACAATGGGATGTCCCAAATCAACATGATTGTCAGATCTCTCAAAAATCTCTTCTCTAACTTGAGATACGAAAAAAATTACACAAGATATATCATGTTATTGCTGCTTCCTCCTCGAAAATATACAACACTAATTGATGGCCGTCAGCTCTCCTATGAGGGTTTCTTCTGCAAACAAGGCAGCAGCAGTAGCAGGCAAAATCCCAGAGAAAGAATATGCTGATGAAACAGGGAAACTCCTCTTAACAACACATCTACAGCAACAGCAGAAAACAATAACTACAAACGGCTGGAAGATGTATGGAATTACAAAAAATAATCCGGAGTCTTCCGTGTAGTGTCAGGCTCAATTTGCCGGGGTGCTGGGTCAAACTGCAGAAAATTCTGATCCATATTCTCTCCGATTTCCAGTATTGCAGCCATATTTCCACATCGGTAACAGTAATTTGGTGCACTAAATACAGTCACAACATTCTTCTCCTAAAAGCCATCAATTTAAAAGTCAATACATAGAAATGAGAAAATAATCTCCCCAACCAAATAGAAAATTAAACTACACTAATCCCAAAGATCATGTTATGCACCTGGCACCAATTGTAACCTTCCATGACAAGCTGGTGAGCTCTAGATATCAAGGATAGACCATTGGTATGATTGAAGTGAGCAGCTATATCCTGTCCAAATGTATATCCAGCACCGCGAGGAGATATTCCCCATCCACAACGGTCATCTGGATCAGACCACAAGAGATCGCACATTGGTCCTTCATGAGGAACCTACGATGTACAAGCACAACGTCAAGCATCCTAGGGTTAACAATTGCTTGGCATCCATTTAACTCCATCAACACTGGTTTAGATAAGAATGAAAGTGGCCATTATGGGGAAAAAAATGAAAGTGGCATCGTATTGTCAGCCAAAAGATGGAACAGCCAAAATTCCTTGAGCACCTATGGTGGACGATAATGGTATGTACCTGACTAACAGAAAGAGAAGTGGGCAATTATACAACATCACATAGATTATTTCTCAAACCTCATACCAAACAATAACATGAAAATCTTAAATTCATGGGAAAAAAAAAAAAGCAAACATCACAGGTCATGACTTCATATTAAATGGTTCTCAATGCCATATCACATAAGCTAATGAACAAGAATCAAATCAGTTTAGTAACACATACCTCTTGTATGCGATCCAAGGCCCGGATATTATCCAGTGTGTCTAGAGAAGGTGAAAGACCTCCATGTAAACAGAAAATCTACAAAATACATAGAAGTTAGATGTTGGAATAGGAATAATCAGAAGAACATTCTGCAATCTAATTAACTCAAACCTGACTCTCAATAAGGGCAGTCAGAGGTAAATAATCAAATAAGTCGGTAAAATACTTCCAGACATTGGCATTTCCATATTTTCTCAAACATTCATCATAAAAGCCATACCTGAAAACATAAGGTAAAATATGAGCATGAAACTAACGAAAATCATAATATAAAAAAATTGTCTTGTGCAGAAACAGAATCCCATTTCTTCCCTACCATATTCCCAGCAAACTATTAATAAATTGATGCTAACAGACGTCAAGTCATAATAAATTCTATCCACCAAGAGATGCACAGTTCAAACATCAATTATACACTCTCTGGTCCTATATATTGGACATGTTTTAGAACTCATGGTCCTCAATGCAAGTTATGTTTCCATTGTTTTGTGCAGCATTTAATGAGTTATTCCAAAAATTCCCTCTTGACCACATTTTAATGTAATATAAAAGCATTTAATGGGTGTTTTTGAGGGACACAAATAGAAAGTGAATCAATTTCAAGACAATTTTATTGCTTCAACTAACTAACCTTGGTTGTGGTGAATTTGTTAAAAGTAACTCATATATAGGACCGAAGGAAGTACAGTGTATTTCAGTAGGCAGGGTTTGAGACCACCATTCTAATGTAATGCTTCTTAACATCTGTGTATCCAACTCATTTCTATAAATTAAATGCATTTTGACATTGATTTTTTTTTTCTTTTTACAGTATTGACTATTGGGTATTAATACATATATATCTTTTACTCTTGTCATGATGCTGTGATGCTATGATTAAATAAACCGTGCTGCTTCTTCTGGACAGGGTATACATTAAACCACGTAAACCCTGATTACAACGAAGACAAGAGTGTTCATGCAATCTTACACTTGAGTAATTTGACGGCTCTCATGATTTCCTCTGAGAATTGTAATTCTATCTCTATAACGAACTTTCAAGGCCACCAAAAGTGTGACAGTCTCCACCGAATAGTAACCACGATCTGCATAAATTCACCCAATATAGTAGTTGATGAGAAAATGCAAGCAGTTTTACTGATGTGATTTCAATACTTTCCACATCATTTAAAAAAGAAGCATAATAGAGCACAAAAAAGGAATAGTAATGACAAAAAGATAGCAACATCTTATAGCTAAGACTAGTCAGTGCTCAATCCTTACAATCTGGTAAATATTGAAAGATGATATCTCCCACGCCCTCTCTCCATATATGGAGTAGAGCCCAAAACATGCAAAGAACTTTTCATGCATGTCACATAATGTGATAACTAGTCGAACATCTCTATTTGAGTGACAATATCACATGCTTCCCCTAATGTTCCCAAGATAAATAGTCAAAGGAATGGCTCTCAAGTGACGATGCAGAGCTTCTCTCTGATATTTTAATCTAGAAAAATCCCATTTTTATTTCATCTTCCCATCACCACTTTTATACACCACTATCCTCAAACCTTTATTCATATGATCTATAAATTAATAGCATTGGGAAAATCACAGCATAAAAAAGATTCATGAACTCGATTCTTTGCACAGAGCCATTTATGACATCACAACATTTCTTGAATTTACTGCTAGTACCCTACAACAATATGGCATAAGTTATAAGCAAGCTGCCACAAGAAGACACAATAAGTGTATTTTAACGCACTCCAACTGACATTGCCATCATTGATGAATGATTGCAGTAATTTGGCGCTTTCACATGGCTTCAGAGTTATAAACATGCCATGTAGCTACATGTCTCACGCTTAGAAACGAACAAGTTTATTATACTTGGCCAATAAGTCTGGTATAAGATCAACTGGTGGGACACTACCAGCAAGAGCCTTAATAGGGAATTATACAGCAGGAACACTGCAAGAAAATAGCAATGTCCATGTCTGGCACATTGGACGTTTGACACTAGCTAAAACTCCACCACGTACAGTACTCTTGAGAACCAAAGAAACAGAGACGAAAATAATTATTTATACAGTAGACACTTATCAGGTCCTTATAAACATTTTGTAGACCATATGATACATATCTGAGATCTGAGGTATATTTTACTATGGTCCTTGATGTTTTAACTTTTCATTCTGACATACATTAATACTTTCTTTTTGGGACCAATATGAATTAATAGTTTTATGGACGTATATAACTGTGTCATGCAATTCTCTGTCTCGTTTCATGCCTCATAATATCTGCGTCCATGTTCATACTTTGAAGTTCAAAGCTCGTTCAAACCAGGATAAGACGTCAGTATATATCATACAATGTGACCACCTAACTATGGAGAAGAAATAAGGGGAATCTAGCTAAATCCTAAATGTAGTAAATGTAGTACTTTTATAGCTAGAGCACATTGCAAAACTTTTAACGATCATTTCCCAATAATTTTCAAAGGTATGATTGCGCTTACGAGTTCTTTCCTTCTCGCAACAAAAGCTTCCACGTAAAACATCCCCCCGGGGGGGGGGGGGGAGTGAAGGACAAAGTTCTTCAACTTATAAACCGAACATCAACTGACAGAAATGATTAAACAGAATCCTGACATTTAATTTTTGGTCTTCAAAAGAGAACGACGTAAACGATAAACCATGATATTGACTCCTCCTTCTTTCCTTCCTTCTTTTTTTTTTTCCCTCTCTTTTTATCTTCATCCAGCCAACAAATGAACAACTAATGAAAAGAGAAGCAAAAAGAAAAATCCATCACTGGGACAAGTCAAACCCATCGGATTTCCTAAGGGGCAATTCAATAAAATACTCACCAACATAATCACCCATAAATAGGTAATTGGTATCCGGCGCATTCCCTCCTATCCGGAACAGCTCGATGAGATCGTAGAACTGGCCGTGTATATCGCCACACACCGTCACGGGGCATTTCACCGGCTGCACGTTCCATTCCTCCACCAGTATCGCCCTCGCCTGATCGCACAGAGTCTTCACTTCTGCCTCCGGCAGAGGCTTGCACTCCATCAGATGCTCGATCTGACGGTCCAGATCCGCGTGAGACGGCATCGTTCTACGCAACTCCTATCCTCCCCCCTCCAAAAAAATTCTCAGATCCACAGCTCGAAGATGCACAGATCGATAAATATGCAAAAAAAAAAAGCTGAAACCAGTCAATTCTATGGGTATGATATCCGTGGTGGCTCAGTCGAGTCGGGAACTCGGCGACGGCGACCGGTGACGGGTTGAGGAAGGAGTTTCGAGCCGAGACGCGGAGAGCGTGAAGAACCGGTTCAGATATCGACGGGGTTCAAATCTCTCAATCATTCCGGACACAGCTTCTTCTCTGTTTTTGTGCTTCTCTGAAAGACGGAGAAAAAAGTAACGGAAAAAAATAAAAAATAAAATACAAATAACTCTGGTTAACTGGTTTTAACTTTATTTGCGAATTGCAAATGATACTAGGGACGAGGAAATTTGCCGCGATGATGAGGAGCCTGACTTTGAGCGAGCCAGCCTGCTTGAAATGATAAGTAAATGAAACTCAAATGCAACTAAATTTACATGACCATGATTTTTGTTAGAAATTACTACCTCCGGTCCTTAATATAAGATCCTGTTTGACTTTTATTTTGGTCTTAAATATAAGATCTCAATCCACTTTATCTCTCATATTTATTCAATTTTTTCCAAGATAGTCCTTCTAATAATTATAGTTCTAGTCAATACACTTGATTAGCAAGGATATTTTAGGAAAGACAACACCTATTTAGGACAAATAACTAACTCAACTTACTTCCTTAATCTCTTCAAATTAGTCAACTGGCTCTTATAATTAGGACCGGAGGTAGTACAGTTTTTTTTTTTTTGGTGTCCGATGGACTTGAGATCATTATCTTCTAATTTAATTATTCTTCTTTTCTTGAAAAACAATTCTAACTACTACAATCGTTTTGCAGTCCTTTTTTAGCAATATTTGTATCTGAACGACAAATTATTATCAATGCCTCTGGGCCATCAATTATTAATTATTTTGACATGTTATTTATAAGCTGTGGACAGTATTCTTTAATTTTAAAATGATAAGAGAGCATCTGTAAATCACCTAAAATTAAAGATGGTTAATAAAAAGTCAAACTATTTATAAAAACATAAATAGGTTAATATACTTTTTTATTTCTGAAATTTGGAATCATTTTAATTTTGACCCCTTGAATTTCAAATAGCTCCTAAGATTTAACATGTTTTAAAACTTTAATCATACAGATTAAAATTATACAAATCAAATAATTAATATTTTTTTTATTAACGAACAGATACATCATTTTTACTAAAATTTGTCTTTATGACTTTAAAGAAAAGTCACACAGACTAATTATAATAAATTAGAATTTACGGGGACTTGAAATTATTATATGGATCAAATAATTAATATTCTTAAAAAGCATTGAATAAAAAATTTCCCAATTATTATTTATTAATACCTCTTGTCCTTAATGTAAGACCTTGTTTGATTTTTATTTTAGTTCTAAATATAAAATCATAATCTACTTTATCTCTTATATTTATATATATTTTTCTTAAAATAGTCCTTCTAACAATAGTAGTTCTAGCAATACACTTGATTAGTAAGGATATTTTATGAAAAATAACACATATTTATTACAAATAACTGATTTAACTTTTATTTTTAATCTCTTTAAATTAGTTAATTAGTTCTTATAATTAAAATTGGAGGTAGTATTTTTTTTATCGTTTTTTCCCGCCTGAAATTTTCTCACTTCGGTGGCTCCGCCGGGTCAAAAGAGTGAGAGCGCTGAAATAGGGAGGGTGAGGAGGACACGTGTGCAGCTACGGGAGGTTGCAGGAAAGAGACGGACAAGTCCCGTTCACCCAAGGCGCAACTTAGCAGGAAACCCTGCATGCCTTTTTTGTTTTGAATTTTAAAAAAATGATTGGTCCAAATTGAAGGTCATGAGTTGTCACATTTGATTTTGAAGTGTGGGCGGCGAAAGGCGGGTCCATTTTTTATTTTTATTCCCCTCACTCGTAACATGGCGCGCTTTTATTTGATTTCATCTCAGAAAAATCTTTTTGTTATGAGTATTAATTTGTCAAATTGTGTTGTGTGGTTGTTATGCAAAATTGTGTGTGTGGGGGGCAACTTTCTCATTAAATTGGAGAGCTAAACTGCATGATTCCAGGGTCCTGAATATTGTATGTTTATCAGCTATGAGTAGTATAGTTAAAGTATTATATGTTATACATAATTTGAGAAATAACTCATCATATCCATGATTTATGAAAAATATCACTTTTTAGGATTTTTAAATTAGGAAGAATTATTTTGAAGCCTAAAGTAACAAAAACAAATACTAAGAAATCTCGATTTCCTACTTTAAAATTTATCATTATAAATTACTCAGTTGTCTTCTTAGTTTTTATTGTAATTCTCTCTCTAAATTATTGTAATTCTCTCTCTAAACTATACTATAAATTTATTTTTTCAGCGATATTTAGTATGAATTTCTCATATTCTGGCTAAAAAAAAGTTTCTCATGTTGCGTAAATCTGAGAAATAAATAACGTTATGATCTATGAAGAGTAAATATCTATTGCTTGTAAATATTTTTGACTTGTTGAAACGACATACTAATTCGTAATGCAATAATTTAATGCCCTCAGGAAGGCGAATATTTCTGACTTGTTATATGGTTTTCAAATTAATGATAGGTATTTCCCATAAAATTTCAATTAATATCAATCTAAACACACAAAAAAGTGCATGTTTCATGATATAATTGTGGTGCAAATTTCATTTTAATACTTTGATTTCCTTTCCAATCTTCAATATGTATTTTTTTAAAATTTTATTTGTTGAGGCGACAAGTTGTACAAAGCAATCGAAACACGTCACATATAAGAACTAAATATTTGATTTTTCTTGCATTAAAAATATTTTGAACATCTCAAAATAAATATTTACAGACTAGAAAATATGACTTCTCTATATCTGCGTTGTAAATAAAAAATTATTTGTTTTGAAGTTATAAATTTTTTGAATTTCCTCACATGAAATATTTTTAAGGTCATAGTTGTTTATGTTAATATCTGAAAATATTTTAACTTCAATTACTGCATTAGTTAATAATTTTTTATTTAAGCATAATACTACATTTTGTTTTTAATATAAAAATTAGATAACTAAATTGTAAATATTAAAAAAATTAGTTAAGGTGGTTATTAATTACAAATATGTGTTGGTCCTAAATTATCTTTTTTAGTTATGGGTATTGGATGGTTGGTAGGAACTTTTTACAATTAATAGGGATACTTTAAGAAAAGATGAGAGATAAGGTAAATGAAAGTTTTATATTTAAAATTAAATTTAATTCTTAGCAAACTCTTATATTAAAAATTGGAAATAGTAGCTAGTAAAATTGGTGTGGCTTTTTAGCATGCATGTTGTGATTTTTTTTTCGCTTATCTAACACTGTTAAAAAATTTTACTTGTCCGTGTTAAAAATTAGAAAGTTCCTTGTTAATCAAAATTAAAGAAATAAAAACAAGCTTTTCCTTTTCGTTGATATGGATGATAAGCGATACTAATAATATGTTATATGGCCATTGGAGAGAAGATTAAAAATAATTATTTTTTGGTAGTTAATTATATATATTTTTAATATGAAGTTCCGGTTCTAGCTACTGAGCTTGACCCAGTCAGGATGCGGCCTCGCAGAGTCTTACCTCTCACGTCACTAAAAAAATCCAATCCTACCAAAATCTAGAGACAGGCCGGGTCAAAACTGGACCCATTGTTTGGATTTCTTGGACCACACAAAGTTTTGTGGGTTCGATCTGACCAAGTCAGTTTTGACTAAATTCTCGAGGAAGCGGCCCTCCCCCAATTTCTTAACACATGTTCATATGCTTTTAATTTGAAGGATAGTTTTAGATTAGTTTTTTTAGCCAAAAAATTAGTTATAAGTTTTAGATAAGTTATAAGTTAGAAAATTAGTTATTAATAAGTTCTTTAAATCCCACTTATTACTATTAAGTTCCATGAAGAATTATATTCATGCAAAAATACACAATACAAATTGTTTGATTTTTCAAGTTTAACTTATAAAAAATACAAGAAGATTTCTAAAAATTCTCAATTAAATCTTAAATCATAAAAAAGGTTTCACAAGTCCTCTTGCAATTTTTACAAATCGAGCTTAGAAATTTACAAATTATTATATGGGTTTTTGTTGAAGTTGTGAAGGGGCTTATTGCTAATAAACTAAAAAGTTACAAGTGAACCTTATACTGCGAGACCGACTCTCCCTCCTGTGCCTTTGAAAACAAAATTCATGAAATAATTTCATCAAAATTTTAAGGGGTGTTATTGTTTGCTGGGGAAACCATGTGAATTTTCAAAAGTATTTCAATGACCTTTTGCACTTGATTTATTTTATTTTTAAGGTACGTTTTAATCATTTTAATTTTACTTATTTCAGATCTTTTTTACCTTACCATATTAAACGTCATCAAAAGAAATATTTTCGTTCTTTCATTTTTATGTACATAAAATATTCTTCTGGTCCTAAATATAAGACTCATTTTGTAAAGCAAATTTCACTACAAAATATATCTTATATAGGACCAGAATATTATCTTTCTTTACTCATTTTCATTTCTTTCCTGTTTTTATTTTACTCTCCATTCATTTAATTAATTTTTAATCAATCTGATTATGTTTCGTGTATGAATTGTCCCTGATGCTTTCTTTGTTTAAAATTACCTAATAATATCATGGCACGAAAAAAGAAAACTCACTAAAATATATATATATATATATATTTATCATGAACATGTGAGACAAACAATAAATACAAAATCTTAAAGGAAGTCAAAAGATAAGAGGAGAACATTTGACCAAATAATATAAACATATTTTCCTTCCCTCCCTTTGTTTGTTTGCGTGAAATAGTTGTTTGGTACATTCTACTTGGCATTTTCTTTAAAGTAAGAATCAGTTCTTTCTACCAAATTTTTGAAGGCTAACGATAGGAATCTTTTGAAGGACTTATTCATTCAAAGTAGGACCATGGAATTATTATTAGTTAATTTCGTATTGTACCAAAAAATTGAAAAAGAAGAAGAAAAGAGATACATTCAATAAAATATAGACATGCATTGAGCTAAAGGAATCCTCCCTTTAATAGAAACACTCAGCTTCATAAATTTGGTACATAATATGAGACCAGAAAACATATGGTCCTGTCTAACTGTATAAAAATCTCATGAAAAGCATAAGTTTGAAAATCTTTTCCCCTTTTTTTTTTTTGGGTTTTTGGTAATGCCACAGTTTCAGCCTCACTTACTTCGCGCACACATTCTTTTCTTCTCAATCCAGACCAAACAAACCAAACAAAGGAGATATTTGATTACGTTAGATTCTCTTTTAGATTTTTTCAATCTAAAACACTAATTCAGCACACTTGATTTTCATTTTACTTAATTTTATATGTATGATTTATATCAATGATTCGAATATTTATAATATTAGTTTTTAATGATCCCATAAAATATATGTATATTATGTTTATATTACATTTTAAAAGTTTTATAAAAGTTTATATAAGTATATTCGATTTCGTTTATAATATCAGCCTGTCAATAGCTGCTCCTCTAATTTAAAAAAATTGAATCTGTCATTTAAAACTGCAATAATTAATTCGGGTTGCATAGCTGTGCTTTTATTAAATAAAATCTCAAATTTTGTGAAAACAAATAAACAAACGTTGAGAGAATTTGCCCTTTAACTCGTGGGACGCTTTTTCTAAAGACTGGGAGACTTAATCCACATAAATTAGTAGAATTTTTATCCTCTCACAAGTGCGAGTAAAGTCGGCAGCTCGATCCCCCGCTCCCCCACAAGGATAAAAATGATTTTTTCCCCATTCGTCACGTGCCAATCACGTGACGACAAGAATGTAAAGCAGCTTAATGGGTTTGAAAGGGCCAAAATCTCGAGTGAAAAAGACTTGCACAAGATATGCAAAAACTCTTCTTTTGCAGGTGCGCCAACAACTTTAAACGGTGGGATTTGCTTTACTTCAGGAAGAACTCATGCCTCTATTCTCTTTACAATAATAAACAATACAGATTGGGAAAAAAAACAAAGGAAAAACAGATATTCCAAAACAATTAATAGTGAACAAACAAACCAAAGCCAAAGCTGTAACGTTTCTCTTTTGGGACATAGAGACTTGTACTTGATGTTAACTTCATCTAGTCCTCCAAAGCATGCATGCATGGCTGCTCTGCTCCAATGTCTTCTTCTTTGAGTTATCTCTTTGTGCCTTTTAAAGCTACGTTTCTTATGTGCTTTACATGCAAACTCTCCTTGGAATTTGTGATACTATTCTCCCTCCCTCTCTCTCTCTCTCTCTCTCACCCACACACAAGAAGACAAGTTCGAAAGTTTGATAAAAAAATAAAAATAAAATCCACTAAATTGCAGCTCCTGCAGAAACTGAGATCTGAGTTTGATTCTTTTGAGTTTATTTTTCTGTTGTTCCTTATGAAAAATTCACCCTCGCATGCAATCTGGAATCCTAAGAAGCTCAGAGATATTACACAAAACATAAAAAGTCCCATGCTCACAAGTACAAGGTTAACATCTTGTGTCATCATCTTCTTGTCGGATTCCCTGTTCACTAAGCCCGACCAGGAGGTCGACCAGAGTTTCCAGCTCTCCTGAACATAATCATCAAGTAACATTTCAGGTAAAATCCTAAGATACCCAAAAGCTGAGTAAAATTGGACGCCATCTAAATCAAACAGTTTGACAGAAAGTGTTTGTTAAGTGTCTTCTAATGGATTTGGATTCAGTAAGTTACACTAAGAGCTCAGCCCAACCTTCTCTTTACAACTTACAGAATAAAATAGCATCTTTTGGTTGCTGCAATCTAGATTGTCCATTATATTACCAACGGATAGTTAGCATCTTGTGATTGAAGTAATAAAAGGAGGATCAAAAGAGAAACGAACAGAAAAAGAAATTCAAAATTTTATTATATGCTGAGAGAAGACAATGAAATAGCGACTAGTTGCTTGAAGACTGATGATTCACTAAGAAAGTAGTCAACCACACTTTATTTTCTTTATTATGCCTCTAAGACACCTCAAGACAGGAATTCAATGTGACAGTTATAGCGGATATTAGTCTTCGTAGCTGTAACTTAACACCCTTTTCCATGAAACTTGAAACTGATATAAATGTCCTCTGAAGAGAAAGTTTACTGCAGATAGTAGAAGATATGATAAGCAGGCAAGTAAGAGACCTGAGAACTAGTAAGCTTATCCTGTTTAGAGACAGAGTACCATATGTATGATATTAATTGTCAAAAGCAAATGTAGATATCAAAGCAGAACATATTACAGAAACATCTGACCATAATACTTATACACATGAATGCTGCGAGGAGACGAACCTGTTGTGGATGGGATCAGGGCCATTGGGAACTCTTCTTTTGCTCATGTGGTTAAAATCCAACTCTTGTTGGTTCACATGTTTATGATCACTGTCAGTACGACCCAAGACAAACTCATGCTCGAGTCTTTCTTCTGAAGATAGTGTGGTTCCAAGAACAGAACCCAAGCTTCCAACAACCAGAAGACTGACAAGCCCCACCACTGCAAGTGCTCGACCACAGAACAACCTAGGAAGACAGGAACAACTTCCACTACCCCTACCCATATTTCAAATATCCTTGTATGTGTATTTCATGACATAGTAGCAAGGAAGGGGATATATATATCGATCTATATATGTAAATAAGCCTTACAGTGCTATCACAGATAGATGAAGGAGGAAAACAGAGAAGCCTATGATTGCTTGATGATTGGGGTGAAAATGGGGGCTATATAAGTAGACAAAGAAGAGATGAGAAGAGAGAATAGAGGGAAGGCTAAGGAAAGAAATTGGTTTTTGTTATTTATTTATCTTTTACTTCAGAGGATTATGGGCTGTGGTTGGTTTTCTTTATAGGTTGGAGAGGGATTCTATTGCACTTTCCCGAACTCAGAGAGAGAGAGAGAGAGAGAGAGAGAGAGAGAGAGAGCTTAGCTGGTTTCGAACAAGAGAAGGAGGGAACACTTTGCTTTATACTGAAGAGGGAGGTCCCAATACGACACCCCTTTTGCTTTGGGTTTGTGTATTTTCATGCAACTACGGTACCAAAAGACTACCTCATTCTATCTATCTAACACTGCCTTTACGTACAATGTTGTTAAAAGGAAAAAATAATAGGGGTTGCCTTTGCTTATCTCTCTCTCACTCTCTCTCTCTCTCTCTCTCTCTATCTATCCATCCATCTCAGTGCCATCCGGAATCAAGCAGAGTGCTGGAATAGTATAAAATTCTCACAACTCGTGATCCCTCCATCTATAGATATATATAGTGCTACCAGAAAGTGATGTAACTCCCTATCAGTTATCACTCACTTGCTACTACCACATTAGGTCTTAGAAATAGTTTTAAGATTTTTTTTTCCTGTCAAAACATGACTGGCAATAAAAGGAGAGATGAGCATATAATGTTTATCCTTTAATTAAAATGATACAATATCATAAATAATTATATACATAATTTATAACTAGTTCTTCATAAGTCATATAAAACTGCAATTGAAATATTGGCTCCTCACTCTTTCTTCTAATTGTTACTGTTAAACATGAAATAAACTACTTGGAAAAAAGAAATCAAACGAGCAATGAAACCATCAGTTTGACCAATAAAGCAAAGCTAGGAAAAGAGGAATGGGAGCAAAAATGAGCGGAAAAACAAAAAAAAAAAAACAAAATAGATGAACTAAGAACAAGTTGGACTCAGTGGGCACCCAACATTCTTTGTACATGGTTACTATTTAATGACAGAAAAGGAGCAGACACCAATTTGCATACCTACCTTCCATATCAATGTGCTTAACTTTTCACTTACCTTAAGTTCAGAAGTATTAGACGGTCCTATTGGCCTTATGTCCATGTCAGACTAATAAAATAATTTTGATTTTGATATCACCATCTATAATAATATATACAAACACATAGCTAACACAAAATAATACTCTCTTTTCTCTTAAAACCCTATCTCTTTCAGAATCCTGTACTTGGAAAACTTGTTCATCAATTTATGCTTGGCTGCTTGCATCTTTACTGCCACATATGCTTCAAAATTTGTACCCGAGCAGTAGCTGCCACAAAAATGGCCCACATGTTTGTGCTCATGTGTGCGTTTTACCAAGTAAGCATGTTGATTAATCTTATATCTATAGATTCTGCACATATTGATTAGATTAATTTATCTTTTATAGGATATCTCCGTATAGGAATCTGTATGCTAAATGAATAGCAAGGAGGATGTACATATACTCCTCTGGTCCTTAATATAAGACCTATTTAACTAATTTGATTAGATTAAAGAAGTTAGATAGGTTAGTTAATTATAAGAGATATGACATATTTTTCCTAAAACACCGTAATCATCTTTCTTAATATCCTCTCTGCTCTTCTACTTGATTATGGTTGAGGGAGTATCCATAGGGATAATTTAGGAAAAATTGATAAATATGAAAAATAGGTCTTATATTTAGAATCAAAATTAATTCAACAATTAGGTCCTATATTAAGGATTGGTGGTCTTATATTTAGGATAGATTACTAACAGAAGCTGGTTCCTTTGAAGTGAGATTTGAGATTAAGGGAATATATAGAGCACACCACACATTTCTCATTACTCCCTAAGGCCAAAGCATAAGGCGCAGTTTGTCTTATACATTCTACATGATGAATCAGACAGTAATAAATCACAAACCAAAAGTGATTTTTGTTGGGAGAATCCAATGCTTCTTTAATTTTTTTTACTGTAATAGCTTCAACATGAAGGTGCATGGATAAATAACTTACAGTAATTAACATATTACTCTTGAGAAGCTTTAGGAATTTATACCCTGCCTATGGCACATGTTTGATTTGGAATATTATATGTGCTTAGACTCTTTGATCATGACAGCATGATTTGTATCAATTTGACATGCCAAAGTTCAGAAATTTGAGAATTTACAAGACTGAGACACGCAGGCACAAACTGATTTGCTCATTCTGCAGAACCTTTTTGGACCTATCACATACTCTCATATGGCTACAATTCAGACTACTAGTATGTTAGGCACATACGGTGCGTCATTAACGTTACATCAGGCGTATATAACAAGGCCACGGGTTATAGTTATTGATTCACCATGTCTTCCACAAGGTATTGTCCTGAGAAATTGAACAAGAGAATCAAGACTTTGATATTAATTGTTGGATAGAGCTCAAATCACTAGTGGAAAAAATGGAAAAAGCCACTAGTCAAGACGCAATTCTTTCTACTTAATCACAAGCTCAAACGTCATGTTTCTGCCAATTAATGGCCTTAGTTATGGTAGTGGGTCTTGGATTCGATCCTGCTAATTACTTCAAGTGTTTATCTTTATTCATACGCAATTTTTTTTTGCCCCCCAAGAAGTCATGTTTTTTATTTGACTCTGACTTCTTCTCAAGCTTTTGTCAGAGTAAGATGTTGGACACCTATCAGTTAGATGGGCACCACGTAGGCTACCTAGCTAGTTAGTTTACGAATAAGCATTTTGCTGAAGAATGAGCATAAAAAAGATATTGGCTAGTTAGTTCAGTAACCTGTCAATCTTAGCAGAGCCAGAGCCTAAAACCAAAATGTCGCCGTAGGTTTGTTCATCTTGTTTAAGGACAAGTTAAGCTTACGTGACTTGATTCTGTACTGTACAGTTTTGCAGTGACATGAAGTTTCTGTATAGAATATGTAGTAGTATATTACATAGCAGAGCTGCTCTCTTCTCTTCTGCATAATTCTCGCTCTACCAGTTTCTTTAGCACAGACAAAGTGGATAAAATTAATGGCTCCAGGCACGTTCACAATTTGCCCTTCATTTTAAGAAGTGACTAAGAGAATGATAATGTTTCTTTGAAATAGAATCCATTCTGAAAATAAATAATGATAGACAGACGGAAAAAGCCCAGCTGGAAGCCATGTTTAAACCAGTGGAAGTGAAATAGTGAATACATTACTGGATTTTCCGTATCTTTTTTGAGGATTTATCACAGAAAAAAAAAAAGATTATCTTTTTGCATCTGTAGCAAGATGACTGCCAGTACTGAAAGAATTGTGATCACCATTGCTTTATTTCAGAGCCTGGATTTGATTTAATGGAACAAAGTATCCATCTTCTTCACATATGCTTTTAAATTTTTTGTGCAAGAATCTTTGTCATATATTTAAGATCTTAGCCATTAATCTGGAGGCGACTATGAAGTTAGTTGGCTTTAGCTCAGTTACTATAAATATTATATATATAGGTACATATTTCATTCTGTTTCAGTGGGACCCTTGAATGGTGCCAAGAAAAGGAAAGAAGAAAATCTACATTGTATAGTGTATATGTGGGATGTAAAGAACTAAAGATGAAGAAAGATGCATGAGTAATGTTGAAGATGGCTTGTGAAAAAAAAAAAAAAAAATTCTTCTTCTTCTTAATCATCATGACGGGACCTTACCAGATTCAAGCTTATCAGCAAAATTTGTAGTGTACTGATAATGTGATCAACTAGGCACCGTTGATCCAAAAATGATCAGTCCCTGTTGTGGCCAAATTTGGATTCCCCCACTATGTCATCTCAAGTACTTCTCAATAGTTTTATCTAAACTTAAAGCTACATTAAAGTAACACTTACTCATTACTCTCTTATTTCAAACTAATTAACCTCGATTGTCATGCAAATACACAATAATTAAAAATATAAATACTACCCATGATCCTTAATATAAGAGCTAGTTTAACTTTCAATTTGATCCTAAATATAAGACTCCAATCTACTTTGTTTATCATATTTATCGATTCTTTTCAAAGTAGTTCTTGTAATAGTTACACATGTTAAAGATTTAATCAAATGATAGTTCTAACTAATATACATACTAGCAAGGATATTTTAGAAAAAACAACACCTATTTATTACAAATAATTAACTTAACAAACTTTCTTAATCCATTCAGATTAATCAACTAGTTTTTATATTGGGGATCGGAGGTAGTAACTAACAATAGTTTGTTGAAGTGGCTGTTTGACGCTTATTCTTCTTAAGTATTCTAAGTATGTGTAAGGATATTAAAGCAAACTTCCAGTAGCATGAGTACGACCATGGCAACAAACCAACGGGAAGAGGTACAGATGTCGAAGCTGCCAACTCCAAAGAGAGCAAAAGCCGGCATCTTACAAACGAATACGTTATTGAAAAAGACAACTGCAACTAAAAACATACAGCTCATGTTTTGGTAGAAGTTGGGCTTCTAACTCTTTTTAAGTCTTATATTAAGGATCGAAGAAGTAATATTTTTCAATTAAGCAAAAACCAATTGCTTAATTCTCATGAAGTTCAGGAATATCTCAAATGCCAGGACATTTATAAAGAAGAAGAAATGTAGGCAAGAATAAACGGAGCAAATTAAATTATGAATCAAGGCGTGCATGAATGATGAATTGGAAGTGTAACTTTTATGGATTCGTACACAACAACTTTGTGAGATGTTGGGCACAAAAGGAAGATAGAGGAATGATAAAATAATATATGTCGTGAGGGTGGGAATAAGTTCAACTCCTCAAAGGCAAAAAAGTGGGAATCAGGAACTCCAATGCAATTTTTTGGTCCAAATTAAAAGCATTTCATTTTCAATTTTCATCATCTTAATTCTTCGTCTAAGTTTAACCAATCACCCTCCAATATCCCAGCCATCAAAAGATGCTTCTTTTCTTCTAGTCCCATTAATTAATTAATTAATCCTATTTAATAATTATAATTAAAGGGGCACTTATTGGGAACTTCAAGTTCCTTTACTTTGCACTTGATATCATTATTTAATAGGTAAATATATCTCTTAAAAGAAAGAACACCAACTTTCATGTTAACTGGTATAGTGTGTTTTTCACTTCCTACTTTTCTTTCATTGTAATGCCCGCCATAAAGTAATGCATCTTCAATTAAAGTGAATCAGTCAAATGCTTTACTTTTTTTAATTAATTAATTTTATATAATTTCTAGTTAAAAGATATGTGCTCATCATTAAAATTTAACTTCTTGATTAAATCATCTTTATAAAAACATAAATACATTATTATATTCCATTTATCTGCTGCTAGCTTCCATGTTTTTTTTTTCTGTGTAAAATTACCGAGACACAATTTTATCACATGCATTGCATTAATTTTGAAAGGGATTGTAACAGGAGTCACATTTTAAGGACGGTCATTTTGTTTCTTCCTTTAGACTAAGGAGTTTTTGGTTGGAGGCCTACAAAATGATTTACTAAAGCATTAGTGGGCAAGCAACCAACAAGTTGTTGGTTAAAATAATAAGCAGTTTTATTTCTGTAAGGAAAAAAACAAATTCAAATTTTAGAAAATGCACTTTTTTTTTTGTAGGTATAGATATCTTCTTATTGGAGTTAATTTTATTCGAAATATTGTTAGGCATTAAATGTGAGTATTTTTTCCAACAGGAATTCGAACCTGAGTTTATCACATTGTGGGAGACTAACTCCTTCCGCCAGATCAAATCCTATTCGGAAAGTATAGTTGTTAAACGGGTTTTAATCTTAACCATCTGAGCTGGCCGAGATTAGTCTTAAATTCAAAATGACACTTAAGAAGCCTGGACAGGGTTTTTGGAATTTGGAAAGGATTACCCGGGGGGGGATCTCAGCTTATAGTTAGTAAATTGAGATGGGCAATTGATAATGGTTTGCCCTCTTAACGACATCATTTTGGTGGCCTATGCATTAAGATTTAGCAAATCAAATGAACCAGCTTCATGTTATCGATCTCCTACGTACTGCATACTTCTTTTAATTAGGACCGGCCCCCCAGTCCGACGGAGCAAGTCTTTAAGCTACCAATTATACCCTTCTAATGTTGTGTGACCTGATCATGAGAACTCTCCATCAGTGTCCTTTTTTGATACACACGCATAACTAAATCAGTTAGTGTACGTAGAAATTCGTCAAGCATCTATATATACTGTTAAAGAAGGGTTCAAACTATACATGTTAGCTCCTCCATCTCATATTTCAAATGCTGATACTTTTCATTCTCGTTGGGTTATTGTTCTGGCTAACCAAACCTTAAAATGTGTACCCATGAGTTATTTTACTTTATTTTATACTCCTCCGGTCCTTAATATAAGACCCATTTAACTAATTTGATTAGATTAAGGAAGTTAGGTAAGTTAGTTAATTATAAGAAAAGTGACACATTTTTCCTAAAATAACATAATTATCTTTTTTAATATCCTCTCTCCCTGTTCTACTTGATCATGGTTGAGGGAGTATTCATAGGGGTAATTTAGAGAAAAATGATAAATATGATAAATGAGTCTTATATTTAAGACCAAAACCAACTCAAGAATTGGGTCTTATATTAAGGATCGAAGGAGTATTATTTATTAAGCCTAACTTTACTTAATATGGGACTTTTTACGTAGCTCCAGTCTACTTACACCTAGACATATAAACCATGTCAATCCGAATAAAAGAGATATAGAATGGCAATAATTAATTACTAATTAAGATGGGAGATCTAATTCTTAAGCAAACCGTTAGATCCATAGTATGAATTCGAACATATTCAGTGATAAATCCACTTTGAACTAAAGCTGGCATTGATAGCTTTGTTTATGGTAAAAATGCCTTGTAGAACATATTCAGTGGTGACTGCTATAAGTTCGCCTTGATGCCTTTTTTCTTTTTTCTTTTTTTTTTCTTTTTGTATTTTCCCGATCTGTAGGTTACATATATAATTAAATCCAAGAAGCTGCGGGCCATCTTTAATGAACGTTTGTTTTGTATCAGATGGGGCTTAAAATTGTTTGTATAAAGATCAAGAATCAATCATTAAAATAAGTTATGCCGATTTCATGCATCATCTAAACTGATATTCCAGAAGACTAGAACCATTCTTAAAAAATAAAACTATAATCATCACAATCATTTACAAACTAGATCATATAACTTTAATTGAGAATTGAAAAAATTTAAAATTTAAAATAAATGAATGTCGAAAGATATATATTAATATATATTTTAAAAGATAGAAGTCATATAATTCTGTCGTATAAACGAACAATCAAATTAAATAATGTCAAATATATTTATAAATTTAAATTGAAATATAAATAAATAATACTAAGCAGAAAGAGCTTATATTTTTTTTAGGGAAAAAGACACTAAAATACCCTCAAAAATATTAAAGGACAAATTAGAGTGAGTGAATTTCAAAATCCCAAACCCCTTTTATTATTTAGAAATTTTAAAATATTGTAAAGTAACAATATTGTCCTTATTCTGAGTGACTACTTTTACATAACTATTAGCTACTTTTTTTCTTTTCAAAGTTTTGGTGACTACTTTTATATAACTATTGATTACATAATAGTAATAAATAATTAAATAAAAAGTAGTCAATAAGCCTCCAGCAACACTTAATGCATTTTTATAATTTTTTAAATAAAAGTAGTCAATAATAAAACTAGAGTAGTTGTAACTAAACAAGAGTAGTCACCAAATTTTTAAAAATAAAATTAGTTAATTGTAATATTAGAGTAGTTAATAACTAAACAAGAGTAGTCATCAGAGTTTTGAAAACAAATATAGTTAATAGTTAAAAAAGAATAGTTGATACATAAGAAAAGAGTCATCAAAGCTTCGGCAACTAATCATCTGAGTTCTGGTGACATATCGCCAAAGTTTTGGCAGCACGTCGAAACTTCAACAGTCCAAAATCAGCTTAGGGTGCTAAGGTGTCAATATTTTTAAAAAAAATAACGAAGAATATTTATTTGCAAGATTTACAAATTTCAAAATAGTACTAGAAGATTGAATTAAAATTTTAAAATTCACCCACCCTAGCAATTTTCAGGAGATTTTATTGTCTTTTTTTCCTATTTTTTTCCCCTTAAAAAGATGGCATTAGATTACGTAGAGTTGAGTTTTTAGGAGGGTTGAAGGAAATTATCCAGCACGGGACGCTGCTTCTGCTGGGCCTCAACGGTTATTCATATTCTAATTCTATCCGCAACGGCTGAAGTGAGTGTTAGCGGAGAACAAGAGAGCGCGAGGCATGCTTCGTCAGTGCAGAACAAGTCTGGTTAAGCTTTCCATGATCACCATTAACGCCTCCAAGTTGGTTTCCCTCCCCCTCCCGCGCACTATAGTATCGTCCACTCCCTCTGCTAACCTGCGCCCCTTCTGCACCATGAAAACCAACCACGATCCTCAGCTCGACCGCATCTTTGATGCAAAGCGGTCTTTCCGGACCCAAATGCGCAGAGAACTGAAGAATATGGACCCTATTCTGAGATCTCAAGAAGGTGCTTCTCTCTTTTACTCCTTTCCTTTTCTTTTTGGATGATTTTATTTATTAAAAAAAAAAGAATGAAGGCGTATTTTTTTTCCCCTTAATTGTTTTGGTTGTCTTGTTTCGTGTTGGGAATTATCCTGAGTGGTGCTTACTTTGATATAACAAAGAGAATTTGAGACTTGGAGGGAGAGACAACATTGTTGAAACTAGATGGATTGAATTTCTTTGATCACTGGCACAGAGCGACCAAAGGTGTGAGTCGATGTCATTCGGGATATATAAGTAATCGAATCTGTAATTTTCATGTATGGTAAATTCGTAATCAAATCACTTTAACAGTATTAGTGAGACTTCGAATGTGAACTTGGAGTTCAACATGTATCACCATCGCGCCATCTCAAATATGGCGGTCTCTTTGTAGTTATGAATTTCTGACGTGTATCAACATTGTTTCTTGCAGTGTCCTGCAGATTTCTTAACATATGAATAGTATCATTTGGTTTTTTCGTTCAATTCATTCTGAACAAGGGTGTTTGTTCTTCAGATGATGCTATTCAGAGGGTTGTTTTAGAAGCTCCGTGGTTCAAGAACAGTACCAGCATATGTGCTTATATAAGTTCTAATGCTTTACGAGAAGTAGATACATCAAAAATTGTTTCAGCAATATTATCTAACCCCGCGACAGGTGTGATCTGTATTCGGCCTTTTGCCAGTGACTGGCCTGCTGGTCATGTCATACATGCTTTGATGAATAATCAATAACATATCTTAGATTCTTAAACTTTTTGTCATACCTCTAGCTGCTCTTTATTTCCTTGTGAAGGGGGTAGCATGGCAATTCATGTTGAGAAATGGTTTTGAGCTAATTAATAATATACAATAACAAGTAAACCACAATTCAGATGAGTAAATATGTGAAGTCATGCATGTATGTTTGATCAGATAGTCAACAAAGATTGTTAGAACCTTGAGTGGATAAAGAATTTAACGGCATTGTTGGTGCTGGAAATATGTTGGACAGAATTCAATATCAATGTATGAAAGAGAAGCAGATGACGCATACAAAATTTACTACAAAGTTCAAGCCAATCTAATACTCTCAGGCTTTTGAGCCTACATCATAGTTATTGTAGGGCACCTACATGTATTGCATTGCTGTTATAACTTGAAGTTTCTTACATCTATCTTTCAACTGAAGAGGATCATGTACAGATCAAGAAGAAGCTTTACGTGCCACGTGTAGAGGATAGAAATAGCAACATGAGAATGCTGAGGATATCAACTGTTGATGATCTCGTTCTGAACTCAATGAACATTTTGGAGCCAACCTTAGTAGATCACAATGGAAATCCTCGAGAAGATGGTACAACCTTTTACTATTTTCTTGTGCGTTTCCTTATTATGTTTTATGCCTTGGTAAACTTTGATAAGAGATGGTGGGATTAGCATTTATTTATTAATTACGTACCTTGACTAAGTTTGTTTTACTGCACAAAGTTATAATATTTTTCGGGTATTTTACAGGTTATAATATTTTTCGGGTATTTTACTGCACAAAGTATTCAATACATTAACAATTCCATTATAATTTCTGATTGTATGGTCATTGTCCTATTCGAGTGGATGTTCATTATAAAACGTTGCAGATACTCGTCTTGTAAGATTAATGTCACTAGGATAGTAGTTTTGGAATGCAGTTGGGAGAATTAGGCATAAGATACATAATCCTGTTCTTCAATGTGGAAATTGTGATACTATTGGCATGTTGTCCACACATCATAGAGGAATATTGCTTTCGTGGTGATGCCTGACGTAAAGATTATTTCTAATTGGCTGACAAAATATGCTTCTTGTTGTTTCTCTTCTAAATGTAGTTTAGTTAGTGTTTTCTACTGAGAGCATATTAAAATGTCTGGCAGTTATGCAGGCAACTGACCCAATCGACTTGATCATCCTACCAGGTAATCCTTGGTCTCCTTTGTAATGTCATATAACTAGCAATATGGTACAAATTTATCATTTCACCATGTATGCTACCTTGACAGGCCTTGCATTTGATAGATCAGGAAGACGGTTGGGCCGCAGTGGAGGGTGAGTTTATGCACCTAACTTTTGTGACACTAGCTGTCTACAGGTTTAACCTAGGAATTTAGGATTACGCTTTTTGTTGAGTTAAAAATAGAACTCCAGTATTTTATATTACAGATTTCATTAGAAAAATCATACATAGATAATAATGGCTGCCAATAGAATGGCATTGTTTAACCATCCATACCCCTCCCCCCCCCCCCAAAAAAAAAAAAAAAAAGCCATCATACATGGGAGAGAGTTCCGGAATGTTAGGTGCTTTGTTCAACATGAGTCCAGGATAATTATACGTAGTTAAGCCATGACTTATGATGTATTCATTCGTGGAATTCTCAATAGGAAAAATTTTCGAAATTTCTCCACACTGTTATCGGTTTTATGTAGCTGGGATATTCATCTCTACCTTCATGTATATTTTAGTGACAACACTGAATACTGAATAACATGGTTCTCATTTTTCATTACATGTTAAAATTTTGCAAGTTACTATGATATGTTCCTGAGGAAATACCAAGAGCTGGTCAAAAAGCAAAATTGGCCGCAGCCACTTCTCGGTAATTACTGTAAACCCTTGCCTTGGGGAAAATATGTAATGTGCTGGCTTCTTGGGCTTAATCATTCACTTCATTTTTCTTCATCCTTGCTGTCTTTTACTTGGTTGCAGTTGCCCTATCATACTCAATACAAATAGCAGAAAATGAAAGAATAGCTGTCAGTCCTCATGACGTTCTTGTTGATGCTCTGGTATCCCCATCTGGCTTCTTCCCAATCAGTCCAATTGCTTTTAAGAAGTGTCAGTGAGTGTTATTCTTTGTTTGCCCCGCTCGGTAAAAGTCGTTTCCTAGATCTTTTAAGGACCATACTTATTCTAGTTTTAGCATATAGAATTGGTTAAAATCTTTTCTATGTATTAATGCAAACCATTAAAAGTTCTGGGCATTATTTATTCCGTGGTTTTGATGCAAGTCCAATTAATTACTATGTGGAATTGCTTTCAATAGCAAAGAGGCTTTAAAATTAGACATTGTCGCAAAGCGAACAGGTATGCAGACTCTCTACCCTCTTATGCTTTAGGGCTTGCTTTCCTTTCTTTCTTTGTTTTCTTTTAAAGCACATTGTAACAATGAAGACTACACAGTCGGTTGTATAATTTGTATCACTGTAAAAGGAAGTAAGAAAATTATTAATGGCAACAAAGCTATGGTTATATGTGAGGTTCAAGTATGGAAATCTGCTCCGAAGAAGAACGTATTACCTCTCCTGATTCCTTAAGCTGGGCGTAATTCAGTAAGGAAAGGATAGTATTTAAACTTAATCTCTTGCTCATCAGAAAAAAGAAAAGGTAATATGCTGCATCTCATTTTGAGGAAACCTGCCTGAGTAACTGATCACATGAGGAGCCATTTGGCTCACGGCATCCTAGAAAACCGGCTCTAGCAGGTTCAAAAGGCGGGTGTGTGTGTCCTGACAAATATTGGATATGCACATCTCAAAATGGAAAACCATGACTAAAGAAAGTGCATGCACTTGAGCGTATCAAAATCAGTATGTTTCCACTATTTTTTGCGGCCTGTCTTTGGTGCTCGAAACCTGCTAGCTCGTCTAGCAACATCCCATGCCTTTTGCGGGGCATACACACCGAACTGTGAAGCGAAAAAGGACTCGTAGCCAGGTGAATCAAATGCAAAGCCTGTGTGCTTTGATACCTCACGAGGCAGTTGAGACATGGCATAGCTCCTCGCCTCTGATGGCGTCAAATGACTCCCCACCTCCAGCAACTGTTGCCTGTTGCCAGTATCCGGTTCGTGTCTGTGAATCTCCTGAATAATCTGATAATCATAGGGGAAGAACCATCTCTGAATCCTGTAAGCACATCAACTCAAATCAATTTAAAAAGAAGTGGCAGCAGATAGAGAAATGGCCAAAGCCATCCCTTGCTAGACCACTCATGCAAGGAAGAACCTCATTCTATATTCCTGCCAGCACATTGATATTTAATAAAGGTTGTGTGCATAATATCCAATACAAAACTTGCCCATACATCTTTTTGTTCTGAGGGTTCTTGAAAGCCTTACCCTTGGAAGATGAAGTCACCCAAGAGGGCAGCAATGGGAACAAGCAGAAGCGTGAGGTAGAAATAGATTGTACTCATCAAGACATATATCACAAAATATACATTCTCCTGCAGGTAAACGAAACAGAAGCCAAGGTAAGAATGTTTCCAAGAGGTCATAAATAATGTACCAGTCTTTGTCAAAGATTACTTCGCTTAAACTTTAAGCCCTTAAAATAAAAGTTTAAGAATAATAATCAGCAGTATATCCCGGAAAGTTGAAATAAATTGCACTGTCGACAGACAATGAACACTACAACTCATTTTGAACTCTATAAATGCAGGGTCCATTATAATTTTATTGTAATCTTTGTCAGTTTCCTTCTTAATGAACAGCGGGCCAAATGGAGAGAGAAACAAATAGGGAGAATTTACCAGTCTGACCACTGAATATATAAAGACGAAAATAAACCATGCTAATATGCTTCCACCAACACCAATTAAGTGCCATCTTGTGACCGAATTACAGGTCATAAGTAGTCGTAAATTGACAGTTACAATAACACATGTATAGGCCATTGTACTGACATCCCAGTGTCCAAATGTTTTTCCTGCTGAATTTTTAGCACCTGAACTTGACAAAATCACAAAATAGAACAATATCAAAGACTGGCAGACCGACAAAATGGCCCATGTCGCCACAACACTCCATTTGAAGAAGACATTCCTTATTCCCTCCATGTAAAGTCCAGGATACTTCCTGGATAGAGATGCACTGACATCCTGGGAAAGGCACATGAAACCATTTTAATGACGACACACAATGTTTCAGATACAGTCTTCAAACCCACATTAAAATGCACAATGTTTCAGAAACCCACATTAAAAGGAAAATAAAAAGCAGGCAAATGTTATGTGTTTCCCTGAACAAGATACCATGTGGATGCAAAACGGAAAGATTAAAAAAAATGCACTTCTCAATGACGAGAATAATGCTTTACCTTGTCGAATAGTCCAAGAGCAATTACAGGCAATGCTGTGAAGATCACATTATATAATGACTGAAACCAATCATCATAGAACCTCTGACCAGAAAACCCCGTTTGAAAAGTAAACCAAAACTGAGTAAGAGTGAATGTGAGATTCTTATAAAAGAAGTATGTAATAACCTGCAATAATCAAGTTTCAATTATGTTAAGACCAATGAAAACAGCAACGCAAATGTACTGTTTGCAAAATATGATACCTTGCATATTCGAAGGTATGACCAGCGGCCATGGACAAGTAGCAAATCTGCAAGGAAACGAAACTGTGCAATGGCAAAATCACTAGCCATCACTGCTTGCATCCCCTCCATCCCACTTATGCCAATACCAACATGAGCAGCTTGAATCATGCTAACATCATTGGCTCCATCACCAATACTTAATGTTATTTTACGTGCACCTTTCTTGACTAGCCTTGTGACCTATGAGCAAAAATAATGCATGATATTTGACAAAATGCTACAAGCAAAGACCATCAATGTTTATCAAGGATGTTATCCCAAGCATTCTTACTATTAGGCCAAAAATTAATTCAGAACTAATTTTCCCCAGATGCAAAATCTCTTCACAGCACAGAAAGTCCAAGTGTGACAGCAAAAACAAGTTATAAGCTCCTGTGCAGCAGTCAATTACCTGTGCTTTTTGTAAAGGAGAAACTCGACAGCAAACAACCGCATGACAATTCAAACCCAAATTCAGAAGCATCACTCTTAAACTTGGGTCTAATGCATGCATTAGACTTTTCCCATCAATTACAAGTGCTAATTTTTGTCCATTTAGAGAGCGTAGATAGCTCTGTGCTTCCTCAAGGAACGACTTCAACTCTTTCTTAACTTGTTCTCTAATAAAATGCATAATTTCCACTGGGTCACCCTACAAATAAAGACATAATGCAACTGACATAGTGAGGAAAATTGTAAACTAGGTCTGAAGTCCAGAAACTAAGATTGCAGCTTACCCTTTCTTCAACTTCTCTAATTGCATCAGTTTCTGAGCTGATGATAAATTTTTTCATCTCATTGGATATTAAATTGCATGCTGCAGCCAGAGTGTGGGAACATGATATAAGATAAAACATGGTGACATTCTTTGAACACCAACAGAGAAGGAGAAAAACCAGATCTCAACCAAGGCAGACTCACCATAGGCTATATTTATTGCTGTTTCAATCTTGTCTCCAGTAAGCACCCAAATTTTAATTCCAGCTCTTTGAAGAGTCTCTATACATGCTGGAACTCCCTCTTGAAGCTTGTCCTCTATGGCAGTGCTACCAATCAAAATCAGATCAGTTTCTATAAGTTCCGCCACCTGTTTTATTTCTGCTGGTATCAGTAAGGATAAAATTTCATCTGAACATTCCACAATAAAGTCTTTTTCTGGTAACTTGAGATTTAGGGAATAGTTGCTGCCCTATTTTATGACAATACTTTTTCTAATTTCTTAAGATAGTTCCAGAAAGAAAGCCTTTTGTAAAACTTAATAGTACTACATGAGCTAGCAGCCTAACCTAATAAGATAGATAAGAACAACAGTGTTGATATAAATTATTTTTCTTTTACAGCATATGCATAAAAAATGCAAGTATTTTCACATCAGCTGCTGTGGAACATTCATCACTTGTATCCCCTATATACGAATCACAAATCCCTCAAAGTCGCAAGGGAAATTTCTTCAACAGTTAAAATTAAACCACCCAATCCAATTGTTGATGACTCTAATCCACAATGACATAAGAAGAGAGAAAATAAAGCGCTGAACAGCTAATATGACATGAATTAGAGCTAGAAACTTCGGAATCTCATTCTAAACATCTTAATGGTAAGAAATGAGAAAAGGCTGGAGAAATAAAAGTAATTCCAATTAAAATGATGGTACAGAAGATCACGGGATGCATATTGTTTTATACCTAGCAGCAACTGTGACTAGCTAGCTTGTTAGACTGGTAATTTTCATGCCAAACTTTTTAACTGTGATGCCTTACATTTGATATATGCAACAAATTACATTGGTGAAAATTTGACCAATGTAAAGACAACCAATTAACAAAATTGAAAATTTTCACCTAGAGATTGGACATCAAAACAATGGTTTTGTCAGATTTAAATTTTTGCAAGGCACACAATTCCAAAAATATGAAGAGGCTGATGATTGACATTTAAATAAAAGCTACCAGAGTATGATAAAAATGTACCTCATCCAACTTCTTGTCACGATCACTTAGAGAAGACTTGGCCTGGATGAACTTTTCGTTCCAACTTTCATATACATGATTACGTAATTCTTTGTAGGCCAGGCATAATGTACGTAAACCAGCAGCTCCAAATTGTTCCAAATACTCCCTGGTCAATTTCTTTATATCATCAGCACCATTGGCCAGTCTCTCGTAGATTACCGTATCAGCACCCTGTGAAATTCAAGTTCCTGGGAAGATGTTATCTTCTTAGCCAACAGCCATACACTTCAAGTCTTGTAAAGAAGCGTCAAGAAACCATTACCTTACAGTACAATACAAGCTTCCCATCTGGATAACGGCATATAACAGACTGGCGCTTTCTTGTACTATTAAGGGAGCAACGGTTGCAAAGCAACATCAGAAATTAATGCCAAAACCTTAGAATTAGATACCAGTTAGGGGGAATAATGACTACCTGTTAAATTCAAGCACATTCAAAATTTCGTAAGGAACATCTTGGACTTTACCCTTCTTTTCAACATGGGATTCGCGGACATATATTGTTGTTGGTGTGCGTCTGAAAGAATAATATTGATTAGTGCCAAATCAAGCTGCACTAACCTCAAAATCTAGCAGCTCACTATGCATAGCAGAACCAACCATAGTAAGCCATATTAAAAGCGTATAAAGGAGCCCGACTCCCACTGAGCATCCCAATTGACAGATCATCTTTGGCACAGTCTTTGAAGAATATGACAGTTTTTATCTTAATTTTTTTGGTTAGAAAATGTTATATATTGAGGAGAAAAGTAAAAGAAAAGAAGCGGATATGGTATTCTTAACAAACAGTAGGACAATAAAGAACATTTCAGATTCAAAAACTATACATGTCAAACATGCAAAATAACATCTGGATATCTCTGAAAATAATAAAAGTAAAAAGAGCAACTCTCATGAATAATCCATCAGTGGATATCTTTTTTTGCCAGATCCATCAGTGGATATCATAAAGAGTAGGATGGTGATTTTGTCATAAGTTAATTAAAATCATTTTGTTGATCATGAATCGGATAAAACATACCCCAAAAGTAAAGGCGAGAAAATAAATAAAATAAAAATTATAAAATATCTTGAAATCTATGTAGGCTTGTCGAATTTAGGATAAATCATGCTGTTGTAGTTTGTCTCAAAGTCAATCTAACCCTTTTTATTATTTGAAACATCTCATTTAACTCCCATTTTTCTTGTTTCTTTTTTTTTTTTTTTAAGCCGACCTTTGTTTTTTGTTTCATTCGGTCATATACTCATATTTAATTGAGGCCAAATCATATACGGATAAATTATGATTTACCCTATCATTTATGACCTTCCAAGTTCCTGACATATATAATGTTTAATTTTTATAGGTTTGGAATGTACCTCTTCTCAACATATATGAAATCAGCCTATATTTATGGTCCAACCTTCCCCCCCACCCACCCAAACACACACCAAAAAAAAAGAAAGAAAGAAAGAAAGGAAGAAAGAAAACTGAATGGGAAAAAAAGTCTCAGGCCTATGCTTTTTGAGATTTACGTTCTATTTCATTCTCATTACAACGTTCATAGTTATTCATCCTCATAAAAAGTGGGGGTAAAAAGTTAGGTTCCCTATTATGTTGAAGTACCCAAAACCCATCATAGTTATAATTTGTTTGCAGCTGAGAATGCGTGGCAAAAGGAGTAAATGACACAATCACACAGCAGATATGCAGAATAAGTTTGAACCTGTAAAAGAAGAAACCAAAGTTCTTTGCAGCAATGACCAAAGCAGCCTCATCAGGCGAGGCGGCTTGATACGTGATTTTTTGTGGGGACTCATCGCCCTCAGGGAGTACAGTATGGCATATAGCAAGGCATCTGAAGAATTCCTACATTGTGAACAAAGAATATTACATTAATTTGAGCAATATAACATGCCATATAATAGTGCAAGATTTTAAATTTTTGAATTCATGGCATAAGTATATTGTAATAACATGAAAAAAAATATTTACCTTACAAATGTTAGGATTAGGCTCATTCCTCCAAGATCCTTGCATAAGCCGATCATCATCAAAATTAAAGCCCCTCTCTTGCACTGCAGTGTCTGATTTATTTTCCTGTAGAGAAAGATTGATACTGCATAATTATGATCTCTTTAACAGCACAATTACTCTCATTCAATGAAAAAATGTACCACCTCAACTTTCATCCCATTACGCTCTGCTATTTGCCTCTCAATTTCAGTAACACCTGTTCCATAGACTTGTTCTCCAATTGAACACTTAAAAAACTCCATTAAGTTTCTTGTTAAAGTTCCTGTCTTGTCAGAGAAGATGTATTCCACCTACCAAGTCAGCAGCGAAACTGTTTAGTTCAGCTAAGAACTTCAAAAAGCCAAATAGATAAGCATTGAGTAAATCGATAGGATTTCTGTAAAGTATAACTTCTTGACACATGTAATAACCTCATCTGGGAGACGGTAGTTAAAATTTTATGAATTGAACACCCACCCCCCCCCCCCCAAAAAAAAAAAAAGACTGCTGAAAATTATGGAGTTATTTGGCTTGCTATTGTCCACTAGAGTCTATTGCACCTGCAACTTTATTTTGTTTACCTTTTATTCGTATCAAATTGTTGTTATTTAGAATATTTCATGTTATATTTTTTTATTTATTTTGCCAATGATAAGATTTTGCTTCAGTAAGCCTACATCTTAGGACCTAATAGGATAATTTGTTATCCTTAAATCAGAGCCTAAGTACTTTACCGCCTTTAATGATTAATTTGAGCATCTTACCAGTTGTGCAAGTTAGAGATGGCTTTAATTTTTTAATAAGAAAACTCTTGGCAGGGCAGGGATTGTTCAGGAATATGCAGTGGTTTTTCGTCCCATGCAGTGGGCTTTTCTTTCATTATTAGTTATTTTGCTAGTTACAGTGATGTGGGAATCTGTGTATAGGGTTGCAAACTAGACAACCGCTTCTGTTCTTGATTTCTTAGATGTTAGAAAGATTGCATGATATTGTGGCTTAAATTTTCTTCCTTTTCAATAATAATTCTTTTGTCATGTTTACAAAGAATGTGGTTTCAACAAACCTGCCCAAGTTCTTCATTTAGATTAGATGTCCTGGCCAATGCTGGGGTATCGGTGTCCTTATGGTACATGCACAAGTCCTTGTTGATAAATTGAGTAGACTGAATAAATTTAATCATCTGAAACAGTTGCCAAAACAAATAAAGTTTTCCCTTTGTCAATAATAGAGACACTGCTAGGGTATGTAATCAGCTGAGACAAACCTCTATTGACACATAAAGTGATATAGGGATGAGTGGTGAATAGAGAGTGATGAGGGTAAATAAAGTCAGGACAATAACCTAAAAAGATGAATAAATGGAGAAAAGTTAGAAAAGAAAGGAATGAAAGGAGATAGATATTCATCTTGAGGGAGCAAGTATTTGGTACCAGAAATCTGTTACTTGGGTTGAACTGTGCTGAGCCCTCACCACCTACATCAAGGCGTAAATAGAAATATTTGTTGTTTACAAAGATGCCACTGCAATTTACACAAACCCAAGAAACTTCATGAATAATAATACTAATTAAGATGATGTTGATGTTGATGTTGATGATTATAGTAATTATCAACAGCAGATTTGATAGTAGCAACAAAAAATCGGACCAGGGTAAATGGAAACGATCAAGCCTTCTCAACAATGTGCCCACACACAGTTAGAATCACACACCTGCCTATGGCTCCAATCAAACATATTCCAAAGAGAGTTGCAAATAGAGCGAGTATGAGTTTATCAAGCTTCCTCTCCAATGTACTTCTTTTAGAAGGTACATTCATGGAATTCATCATCACCTGCAATGTATTGCAAATGTCTGTAAAGCAGAGTCCATCAACAATCAAACATGATGAAGAGATCAACCCAAATAATTTGACACAAATAAGCCTCATCATATCACCAACAAAAAAATAAAGAGTCAAACTGCATTTCAAGTTCTTATTTAGAACTCAATTTTCTATTATGTTGTTTACATTTTATTTGTATTTGTTGATTTGTTCAGATATATACCAATATACATGCTTCCCATATCTGTATCCTAAAATTTCAGACATTGTTGGATCTACATTTTGCATCATCAAGGGGACATGCACGGATGAATGTATTTGTAAGGTAGTTGTTTAGTTTAATTTATCTTATTTTGTTTTATCCTACCTAATCTGAGAAGGGTTTTGACTGGGAATTGAATGGCTGAGTTGAGGCTGACCAATCCTATCAATTCCCTGTTTGTACCATTGTGGAACCTACAAGAAACTCTGCTTAACAGAACCAGAAAAAGATGATGAAAAGATCTGTATTGCTATGTAATCAGAAATAACTCAGAATAGTCGCCGGGAATGCAAAGCAACACAACCACACTCTAGCATCCACGAGGGTAGACTCTCCCTAAAACTCCCTAAAACTCTCTCTGAAATTCTTGTTAACCTCCTCCCTCTTCAGCACACAACTTCTTTTCTGTTCACAGAATCTCCCCTCCCCCATCCCAAAAGAAAAAAAAAAACTAATTCACATTTCCTCCATTGTCCCTCCCATCACTAGTGGGCCTGGTTGACCCATTTCTTCCTTCTTATTTTTCCAACATAAGCTGTAGTGGGCTTGGACCTATCATATCGACAATTTTTATGAAAATAAGACACAGAAACGTCTTCTCTGGTTTAACTCTATCTGATCCACAACATCATCTTTTAAGATTTTTTTTCTTTTTTTGCTACAACCTTTTAAGAAAATTGATGAGTGGCGTGCTTGAAAAAGATAGCTTGTCATTGCTGAGATAAATCACCATTTTTCATTAAAATTTTGATTACAAGCAATCTCAGCAATCAGTGCATACCCATCATTTCAGTTTCATAATTATATTCAACTAAATAGTAGATGATGGAACACAAATTTGTTATAAGAATCTCCTACATAGCAACAAACCTTTGTTTCATGCCCTGTAAAGATAACTATTCCAACAATATACCCTGTATTTTTTAGACTGCAGCCCTGAAAATGCAGGAAATTTCAGTGAGTTGATGCAGGATCCAGCAAAGAAAATGATTTCACTCACCCTAGCAATTGCGACAATTCTGGCCAGACTACTAGCAAATATATAGCTCATAGTAAACACCACACTTCAAACAGAATGAGAAAGAATAAGCATTACATACTCGCAGCAAGATTTGGTTTGGACTGAGAGGTAGTGTTTGTGCTTGAATAATAAGATTTCCAGTGAAGGTGTACAATGAATTGTTTGGTTGTTCACACTGAATTTCACCTGCAGTTAGTTACAAAACTGCTAGTCAGAACTCAAATAAGCAACAAGTCAGTTTCGTATATATTGTGAGAGCTGACTCATCACACCAGTACTAAATTGCTTCTTTTCAAACTCTAGAAAGATATGCCCTGAAAAATCAGCATGCAAGAAAAGAGATTTGAAAAGCCCTATAATCTGGATATAAAAATATCATTAAGCCATAAATTCACTATTATCTTCATGGATTCTGCCACTTAAATCTTGCGTATGCAAACTGGATGCTTATATTTTGTTCATTTGTTGCAGGATCCCTATTGCCATGCAGTATAAAATACAATTAATTAGACTTCACTTGCAAAGCAGAATGGCGAACATGTGCATGGATGTTCAAACGCATATTGTGGGGAAAGCAAGATTAGAAATGTGTAACAGCCTCAGGGTTAGAAAACCATGAAAATCAGAGAAAATTATTACTAAAAATCAAGCAAGTAGTCTGTGGGGTAATAATATATCTAGAAGATGCCAAAACTCAATTTCACCAGCTAGACAGGCAAATAAATGATTCCATGTGGTACATATATAAGATTTGAAGCAAAAACCCTTCCCAAAGAATTTTTACATAAAAACTGATTGACGACTGATTAGGAGCTTGGCTCAAATTGATGTGCCAAGCCTATGCTGATGTGGAATAGAAAAAAACACACAAAAATGAATAAAAGAAGAGCTGAGAAGAAAATTTTGGCTGAAAGGTGGTCACATAATCACACTCAACTATTATATGACTCAATCAATAAAAAATCCATACCTTGAAACTCAGATGCCTTCTCTGGAGTCAGGTAATCCCAAGTCTTCTCCAATGCTTTCCTGATCTTGAGATTGGTTTCCCCGTCCAAATTAGCAGTCTGTAGCCCAGACACAAAGTAAGAGACTGCAGTCTGCTGAAGAACATTGAAAAAAAAACTCAGCATTGGATTTTTTTTGGTTTGCTGGTAGGGAGCTAAACCTCAATATAGCAGACACCATCTGCATTCGTACTGGCCAGGAAAAGCAGATCTGCTGGAAAGAATCCATCCTGCTTAACCTGATACAAACAAAGATTGTAATTATAATTCATACTAAATATTCTATTTTGTACATAGGAACAAGGACAATGGTAACATAACAAACAGCAGTTATGACTACAAGTTCAGAGAGTTGGCTTGTGACGGGGCTCCAATTAGGAGAACCTATAAAGAAGAAAAAGTAAGTGGTGTAGTGGGGAAAGAAAGCAACATAACCGAAGTGAATCCAGTTATGAGAAGGAGGCTAGGTAGAAGGACATGTTGAAGCTGATGAGAAGAATTCTGGAAGTAGTTGGGATGAAGGTTAATATAAGGAGGCCTGAGTGAGAAAGCAAGGTTCACAAAATTTTGGCGAGGGTATAAAAGCCTAGTCTTTGCAAGCCCTGGTCTCTATTGAATATGTGCGAACATTATTGCAGCTTGAACAAATGATAGCTTACTTCCTGTGAGATTTAAAACGATATGATCTATCATCACTGTTGATATCTTTGCAAGTAGATGTTCAAAACATAGACATTTCAAAATTCAATCTGGCAGATATGTGTACCACGCTCACCTTGACAATGTCTCCAACCTGCAGATTTTTCCAGGCTATGGACTCCCATGTTTGATCTTGCAAAACATCTATCATTCTATTGTTTATGACCTTGTCATTTTGAAGACGTTTCTGTTGTACATAATTTAAGGAAAAAAAGTATTCAACCAAAAAAAAAAACACAAATATCATGTTAATGCCATTATATAATATATTAACTATATTTCCCCTTTTACATTCAGATCACAACAGATGCCAAAAATATCTAAAAGCGTAATACAAGATTTCAAGTACAGATAACTGTTTTTTTTTAATAAAAAAAAGGACCTATTTACATTATAATCACAAACTATAATGCCCTATTAAAATTCATATTTAGAAGAGAGAAGGAAACCATAGACACCAAGTTTGTGTGTGTGTGTGTGTGTGTGTGTGTGTGTGTTTGTGTGTCAGTACAAACATTAAAAAGGTAACATGGAATCCCTACTTCTACCCATTTATCTTTCATGTGTTATGTCACCCTAGGTAGGTTACTATAAAGCACAGTCAAAGAGACGACCAACGCCCAAAAAGGGGTTTTTTTTTTTGGGGGGGGGGGGGGAGGGAATTTTCAGGGCCACATTTTATATCCAAAATCAGAAAGAAAGCAAAGAGCAAGGAAAGAAAAAAGCCTCACCGAGTCCTCAAAAGCTTCCTTAATAAGAGAGATAAGAAGCACCAGAGACAGAGGAACCACATTAGTTATCGGAGATATAGGACTACATCATCAGAAAATTGTAATCAGAATAATTGCAAACTGTATAAATAATTTATTAGCTGATAATATGTGACATAAGCGAAAACCACATATCAAGCACATTATTACTGATAACTACCTTCTCAATAACTACAGCATAGCAGGAAAACAAGATGTAAGGCCCAAGGGGGGCAAAAAAAGAATGAAGTAGTAAATGCATAAAGGAGAACCATACTAATGCAGCGGAAGGTCTTAAGTATATCACAACAAGATTTTAATGTCCTAAAATATTCAACAAATGTGACACTGAAAGAGCTTCACGTTCACCATTGCAATAAGTGCACCTTCAACTGACTTATAATTGCTGAGTCTTGTGGATTCAAATCCTTCACATCTCCCCATCAATATGCACACCGTACACATCGTACAAGAAACTCAATTCAAACCAGAAAATGCGACAGGCACAAACTAGTTGATTCAAACAAACTAACAAAAGCAATCAATTAATCAACTAGCATAAGCAAACTAATTTCTGCACAAAGGATCTAATTTGTTGAATAATGAACAGCTGATATTGAAAAATGCACAATTTCCGTCTTTCAAGGAGATGCAGAGGATTTTTTGTGCTCTAAATATTATGTTGAAGTCCAAATATTCCCAATGTATTAATTATCACGGAGGAATGCCAACTAACGAAAACAAAAATATTGATGCATTACACCAATGAGTCACGCAAGTTGGAAAACAATACCCTAACAATGCGCTTAACATTTACGTACCTGATTGGAGTTGCTGCCAAAATTGAGATTGCTAGAAAATAGAGATTAGCAACCCGCCTGAACTGCATCACAAACAAAAATCTCTTATTTCTCCAAAACATTAAACATTCACCCGATTATTCCTTTGTCCTTGTCAAGTAAAAACATGACCTACTTTAAATCATCAATAAATTGATTTAAGCATATGTTTCTTGGGCTTGGCATTTTCTAAACCATAGTTATTATTTGCATGTGAGTATGTGACACACTTGTACGACTTCCAAGTATTACAGTGCCTAGCATTTAGAGTTGTGTGAGCTAAATGAAAATGTAGATTTTTTTTCATATAAACCCATTGCCAAACAATCACCTAGAAACCTAAACATGAAGTACATAAACCCTAAAATAAATCAATGTTTAACAAAGTTTGCGAGTCAGCTTTGTTAATAGAGTGTGGTGCACCTGTAGCACCAATTGCGATGTCATGTAATAGAAAGCAAATATCATTTTTTAAAAAAATTGGAAATTACTTTCATTTTGGTTACTTTTGAGAATCAAAAGGGCTCAACTAACTTACCTGTTCAAATAGCCCTTTTGGCAAGAAAGTGAAGATGTTATATTTTGTAGTTGATATCGAGTTGCTCTGCCATAATGGATATTTACTAGTCAACATTTGATCAAAATTAATAAATTCATACAAAAAATATACAAAATGTTAACACCCGTGATTTTCCCAAAAAAAATTACCATCCATGAAAAGGAGCCCCCAATGTCTAGCAGCTTGCAAACGGAAAATTAAGTGATTTCAAGGTGTGTGCATGGGATTAGAGAGGACAATCAAGTTGTTTTGGCATAAATACTTGAGTATGGGAACGCCTTTCGTCACCATTTTTTAATTAATCAATTTTAGACACTCTAATAGATCCAATGTCTGCACAAGGAAATATCACGAAACTATAATCCATTCTTTAAGAAAAGTAGAAAAATGATAATTCACTCCCCACTGGCCATCATAATCCTATTTCATGCTTCACAAAATTAAAACATAACTCAAAGTCCACCACTTGCTAAAACTTAGCTTTAGAATTCTAACTAAAATTTTAAGAATTTACTCCATAAACGTATCTTGTAACCGATGTTCTAATCTGTATATTAGTTCTGGGTATATCAAAATAAAACATGAAATCTATAGACAACAGCTCATTCTTCAGACTTCTTGTAATGCACAGGAAAAGAAAATATGTCTAATTTTTAGCAAATTGGGTGTATTTTCTTTTAGATATTTATTAAAGCATTTTAACAGAACGTCTCAAATCAAACCTTTTGACATCTCATCACCAACACAGTTCACATTCCTATCAAAAAGGCAGATATGTCCCAAAACAAACAAGTAATTTTGCTTCCTTTTCTTAATATATTTAGCCGCAACTTTCAATGCCTCACCCATAGTGAGTCTGCTTGTCTGCAACCAAAACGGTCTCTTTTTTTTTCAGTCTTTCTTTTTTTTTTTTACTTTTTTTTTTTGGGAAAAGGCATTCTATGGGAAAACTTCCAAAAAAAAATTGTTAGGTTATGTTCATCTAATACATAGATCCAAAAAAAAACCTTGAGTTGAATAACAGAAAAATGTTTACATGAATAGAAAGTATTAAAACATCATGAGAAAGTTGGGGACCATTGTTTGCTTGCATAATGCCTGAAGCCCTACCATGTAAAAACCAAAGTTCATCGGACCATCATTCTCTGACCTCTACTACAATATGTTAATATAAGCTTAGCTTCATCGAGATACACAGACAGACAGAGAGAGGAGTATATATGGAACTTGAAGTGTCGTCGTGTAAATGCCTCTAAGGTGTAAAACAAAGAGAGAGGATGAATGAGAGCGCGTATACAGCATATTTCTTCGCTATTCACTCACTTCCTCTTTCTTTCTGTCTCTCTTAATATGGAGGCCCTTTAGAGGCTTCACAGTTCACACCTTAGTAAAATAACTCGAACCAAGGAAAAAGAAAACAATGATGGCCATATTGGCAGGTGGTGACCAAGTTGTAGTAAATAAATAGTTCTGATACAACTTAATAATTCATAACGGCCAAGTTTCTGCAGAAGTACATCGCATACATGAATTCCGAACAGCTTGTCAGCAATAATAAATACAGAGCAAGTACTCTCATGTCCTGTTTTGTCCCAACCAAAAATGGCAGAAATATAACTCACACCTGATGCGTATCCATCAACATTTCCTATTCCCAATTATATTCTTCGAGAAACCAGATGCCAAAATATAAATAAATACGATGAATTAAAAGCAGTAACAATGCGATGCATATAGCAGCGGCATGCATGAAACAAAAATAATCATTATTATTATAATGATAATAGAATGAGCAAACCATGAATGGACTGGCAAGGTTGGCCTTGCGATCATTGCAGAAAATGGTGCGCTTGTCCGGGGCCTGAGGCTCCACTCCACTGAGTCCACCCGTTCGAGACGAAGGTATTTGAACGCTGGCTCTGGAATTTCGATCCATTCTCGATGAAGAAGAAGACGAAGAAACGATAACGATGAAATAAGCCTAACCTATCCGCATATTCTTCAGTTCTTCTGCGATCGGTTTCAAATCAATCGTTGATGATCTCCATGGCTTCGTTTGGTCGACGCAGAAGAATCAGAGTTACTAGTGCACAATGCACATGCAATCCCCCTTCGAAATTTCGCCCTTTAGTTTCCTATTTTCCATTTTGCCCTTTTCCATTTCCATTTCCACTTCCTTTACTCATTTGGAAACAACGTAGTCTTGGCTTAGCTCCGCGCTTAATTCGCTCGCTCTTTTAAACTTGGTTTCTTTCCAATTTTTTGACGAATGTGGTTTCTTTCCAATTTCCATACAAGTATTATAATTTTTTAATCTCATGTACTGAATTAAATTTATATGTGAAGATAAAAAAATTTCAGGCCAACTATTATCTCGAGATTTTTGAAATTTGGTTCAAGCGTTTGGAGAACAAGACTTTGCTGCGATAAACGACGCCTTGGAGAAGAACAAGAACGTGCCGTTTTAAGCGCTAAACGGGAGTTTCGGTGAGGGCAAAACAGACAATAACGAAGATTGAAGTCGTTTAAAGAATGATTATTTGGCGCGCTGCCGCGGGTTATTCTCAGTTCTCACTAAAGTCACGACACGTGGCAACGATCCCCTTGGGAAGTTCAAGGCAGAGAATTTCTCAAGGCAGTTGACATTTGTAACGGCTAACGAAGGGGATGACCGGAGAGGGTCAAGGCCACCCATTTGCTTATTTTGTCTTTTTCGTATTTATTTAAGTACTTAATTTGGCACTCTGAAAATTTATTTGGATGTTGAACAAAAATTTTTTATTTGGATAAAAGTTTCTTTTTTGTTTTTAATATAAACTATCATTATATAATATTAAAATCAAAATCAAAATTACTGTACACTTTATTGTTTTTTTTTTGCATGTACTCTCTTATGTTTCAGTTTTTCATTCCCATAAGTGTGAAAATTTCTAGTTTAAAATTGAAATTTGATAAATATAAATGAAATAATTTTTATAGCTAATGTTTCATCTTATGCCATCATAACAAGAGATATTGGCATAAGATTTTTTTTTCCAAGTCAAAAAGAGGGAAAATGACATAAAATCAACATTACTGTACACTTTATTATAGATTGTAATATTTCAATTCAAGCACTTAAGACTTCAAAATCCTAAAGAAGGAAGTGATGCTTGATTGGTTATTTTACAAATATAGTTAAATGATAAAAATACTCTTATATTAAAAAGTTTATTAATAAATTGTGAACTAGTAATGATAAGTATTGACAGCAAACGATAGAAAATGTACTAACAGTGAAAAGCTATTTATTAATAAGCTGTGAATTGACAATAACAAATTTTAAACATTCACTAACAAAAAATTTACTAGCAATGACTAATTTAATAGCCTTTTTTTTAAAATATGATACAATGACATATCAAATATTGGACTGCATTTGAAAAATACCAGATCAAACATCACTTCTTTCTCTGAGATTTTGAACTTTTAGATGCTTAAATTGAAATATTACAATTTTCAATTTTTTTTAATTTTTCCAAACAAAAATCTTGTACCATTATCTCCTGTTTAATCATTACAATCAGTTATCAACTGAGCTTTTCTGGTCCAGAAAAAAAAAGTTGTCAACTGAGCACCATAAAAGGGCCACCTGATCCACATCACAAGTCTGACCCAATCCCAATCGGACTATTAACAAATGCTTGAGCCCATTAAAACAAAACAAAAAATCTTTCTTCTTTTCATCCCTGAAAGCAGATGGCTTTTTCCGAACGATAATGAAAAGCATAGTATTCCAATTCCCAAAAAAGATTAAAAAAAGGAAAAGAGCTCCTTGTTTCAAAAATGGCAGGAGCTTCTGCAACTCTAGCCTCCTTTACCAGTCTCACACCATATCCCTCCACCAAGCTCCTCCACTGCTCTTCAACGGCACCCTTTCCACCCGCAACACTTGGTTCCCGATTCCACTACCGCTCTTGTTCCAATCTCAGAGTCAGTCATTGCCATGGCAAGGTATACTATTAAATCTGCTTCCTCTGCAAGCAAATACACATTTGTTTCCAATTGAGCTCACCGTTGCGCCGTCTCTTCTTAGTTGAATAATTCAACTGAAGGAGAACCAGATGAAATGGACGAAGCCCTATTCGGTGGCTATGACGGAATTGAGGATGACTCCGACGAAGAGGACGCCGAGAACAGTGTCGATTTGCTGATTAGATTCTTACGGAGCATGTTTAGGAAGGTCTCTAAGCGAGCCAAGAAGGCTTCGCGATCCATTTTACCCTCCGTAATATCGCCTCAGCTTGTAAGTTTACATTGTGAAGAGGAGCCTATGGAAATGTCGATTCTAAATGGACTTATATAGTTCAGGGTATCATCAGTTACTATTCAGTTTTTGAAGGGTTCAATTTCTGAACTTCTTAGAATTAAGAAATTATGGAATGTGTTCAGTGAGCTCATTGGTAAACTGAGAGGATTTTGCCTGTGCTGATGCAATTTGATGACTACTAATTGGCCTCCTATTCATAACGCTGAGTTGAACAGAGGAAGTTACTTGAAAGGTCAAAAAGGAACTATTGCTTTGATATGTAGCTGAAAATTGCTTAAACAAGTAGCTCAAGTTGCTAGTTTTCTTTTCTTCTACTAGCCCCCATATCCACTTTATTTCTTTGGCGATCGTTTGCATGTTTTGTTATAAACTGCAATCTCTCTTACAAGTTTCGCTCTGCATTAGACTTGTGCGGTATCTCTTAACACTGATTCTTGTGTCTTAGTTCCTTTGATTTATTCTGCTGCCTGCTGCCCGTCTGAGAGTTGATGCAGCTGAAGTTTTTTTTTTTCCTAACCCATTGTTTGCTTCTCTCTTAATTCTTTCCATGTGGATTGGGATTTCAGGTTTCTTTTGCAGTTGACGGTACACTGCTACTTGCTTCACTTTCTATTGTTAGAGCGTTTCTTGAGGTACTGTTTTCTATCGCTGATTCATGTCCTGATGGAGAGTTTATGGTTACTTGAAACCGTTTTTTTTATTTTCTTTAACTTCACGTAGAAATTGCTCTGCTATATTATTTTATCATATCAATTCTTTTTTGATATACCTAAATATGCAGAAATGGGCTGCGTCTTTGATAGAGATTTTTAATTGCAGAATCTTCATTGTATTTCCTTGCACATCTTATTTTCACCAACGATTAATGGTTTGTTTGGTTAAGGTCAAAATAGGGGATGGAAATGAGAGGGTTTCAATCTGGACTCAAATTAACTGTTTCCGTTTTGGGACTCAGAATTACTCATAAGTTGGTGGATCCTACAAAGATATGGAATGGTTGGTAGTGAAATAATATTCGTTTTCACTCCGGGCTTTTGCTTGTTGGCGAAACTGATTAACCACCCTATTAAGCATTAATCAAGTGGAAATCAAAACCCTTTCCTGATTCTCCCTGTCCATATTCACGCCCTCCTCAATTTCAGACTTTCTCTGCGAATCACAATCAATCAACAAATAACGGTGTGAGAAAAGCTGTATGCAAATAGCATCTATCTATTTAACATTAAGCGGGCTATTGTTAGGTTAGTATTAATTTATTACCATCCTCTTTAGCCTTGGTTTCAATATCTTTGAATATCGAAACAATTTATGGACAGAACGGAATATGGTCTCAGAGAGATGAAAGTACATTACACCAATGCGAGGAGACTCTTAGACACTGTTGCTAGCCCTACTTAATTGCTTGTAATTTTTGTACTTAAACTCTGTACATAATTTAGTAACACGTATCCATTTACCGCTCAAAAAAGAGATGAAAGCACATTGAATAAGAATCAACGCTAGCTCTAACATGAGACCTGTAGGATCAATAAGCAAGGATATATCAATAAACTCTAGTTCTAGTATTTTTCAATATGTGCTTTGAGAAGTATTCTTTGCTTTCCTGTATGACGACGGACTTAACCATTAGTGCATATGGATGAATCATAGGTGATATGCACACTTGGAGGTACAGTATTTGCTGGGATTTTGCTACTGCGAGTGATCTGGGCAGCAGTTGCTTACTTTCAGTCAAGTGGAAATAGCTTTAACCAGGGTGGCAGCTCCTTTGGCGCCGCAGCTTAGAGCTCTCTTTACCACTCCGTAAGCTAAAAACCTCGCATTCTTTCCTTCTGTGCTACTTGGTTACAGGCTAGAGGCCATCATATCATGTACTATATATTGTATATCAAATCTTTTGGGCCAACCATTAAGAGTCTGTGGATGTCATTCGCATTTTTCATGTGAACAGTGTATATTAGACTTGACAATTTAAATTATTTTTTCCAAGTTCGTTTATAAAAATCCTAAAAAATCAAGAAGAAATATACGAAGTCATATTGGGTCACTCTATTCAACATAGCGTCACAAACAAACACCAATGTTGAAACTGCCGCACAAAATGAGCGACATGTAATCAGGAGAGGCAGCCTTCTTTTACAAGAACAATACGTTATACGTTGGAGCTGAATATTGCCACAGAAAGCTTATATTTCCCTATGCTACATATTCAGTGAATAAATATTCTAACACGGCAGCAAATGGACATGCTAGTGTTTACTAACTCGAGCAGGCCCTGTAAAAGACCAAAATCGCCATGACCATTTTCTTCTGGCTTTGAGTATGTCTTAAGCGGATGAAGGAAATACTGCATCTTTATGTATTTATTACCAGGTTCATGGATTTATTGAATCATGTTGTTCTTTCAAATCCGCCACCTAACTGCATGTGTAACCATTCTGGTGATGCACCCCGGCTGAACTGATCTCGCGGAGCTTGAGAACCAATTACCATGTCAAGTGTGTGTTGATCAAACTGTATTTAAATAGACGTTTCCGAAGAATCAAGATATCATGAGGTAATATTCAACATGCATGTGTGTGTGTGGGGGTGTGTTCCTCAACTAATCACTCCTAGAAAACACCTAGGAGACACTATTTGCTACGCGCTTAATAAACACGCCTCCAAGGCTGCAAACCCAAAATCCATCGGATGCAAGATCATTCTTGCTTAATAAGTCTTTTCATATTATTCTTTAAGCTTAAGGTTCATGATATGAATATTGTCCACGAAAGGAAGTTTGTTGACTCTTGACTCTTCTTTAGATCAGCACCATATAACTAAAGGAACGAAATAGTAATGGTCTATCAGGACTCAATATTTAAAACAAACGAATTAAAACCAGTTTTCAACCCTTCAAGTCATTTAAGTTTCGTAAAAAATTCAATGTGTAGTCCAAAAACCTAGTAGACGACTTACATCTTTTGGATGAAAAATTTCAATGCCAGCAGGGTTCACACTTGAATTTACAGCTTCAAGCTTCATTGACAAGAACTGTTTCATCCAGTCAAATTACAAGGCAGAACTTTAATTTCGATCAATAAATAACTGTTGGAAAAAAAATCATAATTCACGGGCCAAGAAACTAAGATAAGAAGTCAAGACGGAGTTATACCTCAACTTGGCGCTGTAGCGACTGAATGTAATTTATTATCTCATCGAGGACCAACGCTTTCCCAGTAACCTGAATCGAGAAAGTATTTTACTTCAAAATTTCATATGAAGTTGGCAAACAACACCGTTGGTGACAGGTGATTTTCAGTTGTGTTATCAATAGCCTAGATATAAAAATACACATGAAAACACCGGTTTCTCCCTTTCAAGTTATTTTATTCAAATTGAAAGAATCACGGTTAACGCAGAGTAGAAAAAAAAACTCATTAAAGTTCTCAAAACATACCTTGTCACAACCAGGAACCAACTCCTGAAGAATTTGCATCCTCTCGCTTATCTTTTCCCTCCTCGCCTGTTTCAATCAGAATGCCTAGCACAAGTCAGTCTACCACCCCATAAACAACCAATCCCTTTATCACAAATATGTAACAGAAGGTTATAAAACTAGAGTATGATTTTTCATTTGCTTCTTTTAAGATCAGGACTAAATAGAAAATATCGGAACAATAACGCAATTCTAGCAGAGGTAAATTACTCTTTCCGCTAGACTGTGACTATCAGTAGCTTGACCCCTTCTCGCCCGTACATGGATGTAAGCCGGCTTAGGAGGCTCAGAAGCTGGCTGAGTACTTTGCTCCGCTGGCTTTTCTGAGCCGGTTTCTGTTTCAGCTTTCGTTTCAAGGCTCTCATTCCGATTTCCACATACTTTAAGCCGTTTTCCATCACCATCATTCTGCTCAATTCAAATTCAGAATTGGTAAATAGGTTAATTCTAAAAACATAACTTCAGATCCATATTCTGTGTTCTAATTTTTTGTACCGTCAACTTTTTTGCCAAATAAAACAGCGCTTAATCTCACTTAATTGGATTAACTTCCCAATGGTTTTGAGACATACACATATACTAGATCACTGAGCATACGAACGAGTGATTACCACGCCATTGCTATCGCCAATGCCACCGTTGCTGGTGGTAGAGACGCCTTTCGCCAATTCATCCTCGGAGTCGCGCTTCTTCCTATTGACCCCGTTTCCTTCCTGGTCCGAACAGCTCGGGTCAATACCCGGGCCATTCGGATTCGAACCCGATGTAAACGCCCCAAACTGCCCCAAATTTTGTCCGAACTGCGGCCTCCTCAAGCCCAACCCTCCCCTGGACTCCCCGAGACCAGCACCGCCGTTCGTCGGGAACTGCCGGATGTCGGCCAAGTTATGCGACGCCGTATGAGCGTTCCCATTCCCAAACGAACCCTCGTTCATCATATTGATAGCCGCGGGATCCGTAACAGCACCGCCGATGAACTTTCACTCAAACAGTCAACATCCACCCAGCACCGCTGGGGAATAACTACAAGAGCAACTGTGCTATTCGAGAAGCTTCAGAACAACGAAAAGGATGCAATTATTCAAAAAGAAAGAGAGAAGAGAAGCTGCAACTTGCAAGGTCTTCCTCGTGCTTGATCTCCGTGGACAGTGGAGGCTGATGCGCCCTTTGTTAATACTCCTAAGCTCCTAGTTATAAGACTCAATTGACTTATTTGAGGTAAGTTAAGTTGGTTATTTATAATAAATAAATGTTGTCATTCCTAAAATATCCTTACCAATTAAGTATATTGGCTAAAACTATCATTATTAGAAAGATTATCTTGGAAAAAAATGTACTCCTCCGGTCCTAATTATAAGACCCAATTGACTTATTTGAGGAGATTAAGGAAGTAAGTTAAGTTGGTTATTTATAATAAATAAGTGTTTTCATTCCTAAAATATCCTTGCTAATTAAGTATATTGGCTAAAACTATCATTATTAGAAGGATTATCTTGGAAAAAAAATGCATAAATATAAGAGACAAAATGGATTGGGTCTTATAATTAGGACCAAATAAAAAGTCAAATTGGGTCTTATAATAAGGACCGGAGGAATATAAATATAAGAGACAAAATAGATTGGGGTCTTATAATTAGGATCAAATAAAAAGTCAAATAAAATCTTATAATAAGGACCGGAAGAGTATTTATATTTCATTCGTCCCTCCCACGGATCGATTTGAGCGCTCATCTGATCAGCAATTTGGAAGAGAGCGATGTGAGCGATTCGGTTTTAATATTTTTAATTTTTAAAAAAATTTAAAAAAAATAAATCTGAACGGTTTAGATCGCTCATCAAAGAATGAACCCTGGATGCTAATCTTCGAAGAGTACCCAAACCAGATCCCTTCCAGTTAGCTTTTTCTCGAGGTCCAGCATTTCATGCTCTCATCAGCTTGACTCCCCTGATTGCTTGCCGTCTGATGCTACTACCATGGCACTCAAGAGGAAATCCCCAACCGTTGATTGCCCACATGAAACCAAACGTCCAAACCTGATCATCTTGGGTTTTCATTTGGAATAACTTATAAATAATTTTTTAATTATAACAAAATATGAAATAAATATATAAAATAATTTTTATCTTAATTTACGTTAATTGTGTTTATAGTTATTAAAACTTTTCATGATTAACTAACAAATTATAGTACACATTTAAATTTAAATATAAAAGAAAGCAACGAAAAATTAAAAAAAGTGTCAGGCAAGTTTTATGAAATTAAAAAAGGTAAAAAGTAGAAATGAATATAAATTTTGGATTTTTTTTTCTCGGTCAATTTTTTAGATTTTACAAAAAAAAGTTATGAGAAAACAAAAGGAAAGTGCGAAAAAAATGACGGGTTATTTTGAGAGTTTAGCGAGCCAAAGTACAAATACGGTGGACAAATTGTTTAGCGGGAAAGAGACAACGGTGGGGTTCCATTGATTATCCAATGATTTGGGGAAAAAGTTATGGGAAAAGTAATGATGTTTTGATTAAGGAGATGCTAATTTTTGTTTGCCAGAGATTAAGGAGATGCTAATGATGATTAATGAGAGACTTAAAGACTTAAGCGGTGATATGTGGTAAAGCACTGGGGAAAACGATGGTTAGGAAGTTGATGACCGATGAGTGATTACGACCTTAGGTCAATTCAAGCTTTGAATTTTAGAATGAGGGGGTGTTTGGATTGCTCAATAAATACTTTTAAAAAGTATGTTTCAACAAATCGAGACAAACTCTTTCATATATTTACTTCATATATAGCAAAAGCACTTTTAAAATTATGATTTTGTTTCTACCCAAACACCCCCTACATGAGGTCCACTGCCAAAATAGTCCCCTCTGGTGAGATGTATGCTTTTTAATTTTTCTATTCCTATTTTTAAGTCATTTTTAACATGTTTTATACAAATTAAGAAAAATTTTAAACTTTACTAACTCTCATTTAATATTCAACAACTTTTCAATTTTATCCTAATTTAGCATAAATTATACTTTATGAAAACAAAATCAACATAATAATAAATTAAAAATAAAGTTGTTCATTCATATAAAAAAAAATTTCTTGGTCTTTCATATTGAACCAAAATTTTTTTTTCTTTTTTCAATAAATAGGATTAGAGGAGTGTATAGTTTTAAGTTACATATAAATAATTTTCTAATATTAAAAATGTAGTAGAAAGTAGAAACTCCTTACACTTTTAAATTCGTGCATATAATTCATTCATCGTTAGTCAGCCGTATTTGATAAAGCAACGTGATATATATTTGTATCATCTGTATCAAAAAAAAAATAATTGTATCATCAATAAATATCTTATTAAAGTCAATTTTATATATAAATAGTCTTTTTATAGTTTGAGTTTTATGTCAGTAACCTGTAATTCTACAAGCTTCAAGCACGCTAAGATAAATAATCCAATTATATTCAATTTAATCGGGGAAATAATAGAATAAATCATGCAAATCTTATCTTCTTGCGTCAATAGATTCGGTCTTTTTTTTTTTTTTGGCATTGTTCCTTCTTCTACTCTCCATGTCTCTGGCATTATACCGCAAGGTCCCGTTTGATGATAGACATGAATGATGTCTTCTTCTTCTTTTTTGTTGGGACAATTGTGAAGCAAAGTTTTAATTGAAAACAAGTTACACCAGGTGTTATCATCAACTACCTAATCTGCAGAGCAGTGGTTTCAAATGAGATCAATGTTTAAATCTAGTAAACGGAAAAAAAATAAATTGAACTCAATAATATTTGAATATGACTTTTTTTTAAGAGTAAGATACCCTGAATACCTTTTTAGTTTGTATCAATTATAGAGACCTCCTCTCTATTTTTAAAACATATAGTTTAGTCCAATTAATTAACAGCATTAGGAATATTATAAAAAGATTCTTAAAATATTATTGTTAACCAAAATTTATATTTATTTACTATTTTACCTCTCATTCTAATAAATTTTTAAATTATATTTTTATAGTTTCATGAATTTCATTCAGTTAAGATAAACATAAAAAATTTCATTATTTTTTTAATAAATATATATACTTGACTAAATATGTTTATAAGTTTTCGTAACAAACATGTTTTTAAAAGTTTTAAATTATAAATTTAAATAATTTATAAAATCTTTTAAACTTATATCATTTAAACTTTACAATAAACAAAAACTATGTATTTGAAATGTGTTCTTACAATTTAAAATAAAATATTAAAATAATAAAATTTTATGATTTAGATTAAAAAAATTATAACATATTAGAAATTTTAAAAATACATGTATTAGAATTATTTTTTGATTTTATAAAAAAATATTTTTTAGACAATATGAATGTCTAAATAATTATTAAATTAAAAAGGCACATTTTGATTAAAAAATAATTTAAAATCAAAAAACTTAACGGTTTGGATGGGTGAAAATGAAATTTTAAATATAGGAGGAAGATTTATGTAACATATTCCTCCACTTCCAGCATATTTTACACGAACTAAGAAAAACCTTAAACTTCATTAACTCTCATTTAAAATTTAATAACTTTTCAACTTTATCCTTATTTAATATACATTATACCTCATATAAACAAAGTTAACACAATAATAAATAAAGGGTAAAATTGTATATTCATACAAAAAATTTCTCTCAGTGCCCAATAAATAGGACTAAAAAATACCTTCTCTCTCTACCCTATAAATAGGACCAGAGGAGTACATTTTAATTATAAGGGAGGTTTATATATTTTTTAAAAATAGATGAGAAGTTGCTGTAATTGAGATAAAATAGAAGGGTGATAAGTGTATTTTACTCTTTTTTTAATTAAAAGGCAAACATTAACATGATGTAAGGTTAGAAGTAAGATTGAATTTTGCTTGTAAAATTTCTTATAAACTACAAAGTTATTAGCGACATTATTTGTTAGTAGAGTGTGTAATTTAATAAGTATTTCGACAATTTTCCTTTTAATTTTATCTCTATGGCACTTTCAACAAATTCCATTAAAAATGAAAAAGAAAATCTTAGATATCATTGATTTTATCTTAAAATTTAATGACTTTTCAACTTTTCTCTTATTTAATACATATATATTTTTAATAAAATAATAGTCTAAATAGTAATAAATTAAAAGTAAATTTGTACAGTCTTATAATAAATCTAATGAAATAACTTATGCTAAGGACAAAGAAAATATTCTTTTTCTCTATCCCATGAATAAGACGAGAGAACAACACCGTTATGATGTTTAAATTTGCTTGAATATTTTGAATTGTTCTCCTTTCTAGTTCATTTTCTTACTTTTCCTTCTCACATCAGAAGCTTGTACAATGCAGAACGAAAAATATTTTTTAAAAAAACAGCATCAAATACGGATAACAAATTTAGAATTTTAACTCCCCTCTAATATTTTTTTTATTAAATACACTTCTAGGTAGTTTCCCCTTTTTTCCTATTAATTCCATCCTAACATTATTTTGTTCGATTCTTTTTTTAACATGAAGTATTTGGAATATTGTACTTAATAAATCAATTATGCCTCATAACTTTGGCCCAAAAATATATGCATCATGGAAAACCATCGATTATCAATAATCAATGATCCAAACCACTTGATTTTCTGATCAAAATTCTTGCCATTAGATATTGAGATCATTTTCGGTATCAAGTCGTAACGTGTATGTGAGATGTATATGGATATATAAAATGTTGATGGGATTGAAAAAAAGAGCGATCAAATTCAAAAGAAAGCCATATGACAATCTTCTGCAAACAAGGAAAATACTAACCGTCCCAAAAAAAAAAAAACTCATTGGGGAAAAAGAGCGATCAAAAAAATTCATGATCGAAAATTCAAATTTAAAATTATTTTAAATTAATTCAATAATAAAAATAAGACAAAAGTATATATTTGGTCCTTTAATTTTGTATAAGGTTTCAATTTAGTCCCTTAACTTTAAAAAATATATTTTTAGTCCTTCAACCCTAAAAATTTTTCAAAAAATGATGACATTAAGATCTTAAATGTTGATAAAATATTCTCAAATACTAACATATTAAGTTTAGTTTTCAAAACATCCACGATTGTTACAAAAAAATCATCATTAAAGCCTAATAATTTTAGGGTTAAAGGACTAAATGTATTTTTTTAAAGTT